TTCCTTAGCCAGTAATTGGGGAATCACCAGTGTCTCTTTAGAGATTACGCTTCATTCATAGACAACCAAGAGCAGTGAGATACAAAAGAGATGATAAGAAGGAAGAATATTCTGGTGACAGTGTAAAGGTTGGCTTGGTGTGGTCCAGACTAGATAATTCCAGGAGAAAGTCTTACAGAGAATGTGTTACAAGAACAATAACAGCCAAAGAGGAAGTAAGCAAAGAAGATCCCAGAGAGTGGAAAGTTGCCCCCTCCCATGAGCAGTGCCCCCACACCCACTCTTCGTGCTGTGACTATGGAGACTGCTGGAACCTGAATCCCACTCCTGCCAGCTCAGGAGCCATGAAAACTGCTGTGACCTGCAATCAACTATGGTCCCAAAATGGCCTCTCCTGGAGACAGAAGCAGAATGGGTTGTTGCTCTTCTAATCTCTTGCCTTTGGCTTCTATTGGTGGAAACCAGATAGCATGGATGTTCTGGAAATGTATTAATCTAGCTTCTTGCTCCTACCACATATGACAGCACAGGAAGGCAGCAAGAGATCAAACTACTAATAGAGCAAATTGTAGCAACAAGGAAGGGTGCAGGACAGTGTCCAAGGTCAGGGTATAGTTTTTCCTGAGTGAAAAAAACATCTGGAACTAGATTTATTGTTGATCAGCTGAGCCTTCTCCAAGGCACTCTAGCATGATGGTTCAGGGTCTCTTGGGCAAAGTGGACAATGTTACCTCGTTCAAGAATATATCCAGAAGATCACAAGTCAGGATACAATGAAGGGGCCTGCACACTCATGTTCATTGTTGCACTATTCACAATAGCCAAGTATGGAAACAGCCTAGATGCCCCACAACCTGTACATGAATCACAAAGCTGTATGGTTTCCCTCATTTGTAATCTCTAGACTGTGCCTATAAACCTACAGGTAAACACAATAGATAGTAAAAGACAAAAAAATTACACTTGGGCATGATTAGTTAGACGGCACTCTAAACATTCACAGTGAGAACAAAGGAGGATATTCTTAGGAGAGGATCACAAGGGCTTAATAGCTATGTGCATATGATCATATAACATGGTGCTTATTGAAATGAACTCCAAGCAACGGAAGTATGAGGTTTTTTATTATACTATTTGAAGTTTTTTTTTTCTTTCCTTTTTCCTTTGCTTTACTCCCTTTTGTCACTGTTTTTTATTTCTGTACTGTTTGCCTTGTATATAGGTTTATCTGATTTGGGGAGGGGAAGGGAAAGCACAGAAATGGTGGAACAAAGGGTGAACCAATTTAACAGTCATACTCCCTAGACACTATGTTGGAAGTGAACTATACAACTTGGGAGGAGGGGGATCAAGAGAGGAAAAACTGATATAGAATGAGAGAGGGGATGACACTGTTCAAAAGGAAATTTACTCATTACCTGACATGAAACTGTAACCCCTCTGTACATCATCTTTACTGTAAAATGTTAAAAAAAATAAAAACAAAGAGAATGGAATATATGCTTTGGGATTTTATTTATCCATCAGGAAGAATATCATGTCATTTGCACAGAAATGGATGGACTTGGAAATAAAATTCATATAAAGTCAGGCTCAGAGAGACAAAGGGCACATGTTTTCTCTCATCTGTGGAAATTAGACCTAAAATATAAGCATCCATGAAAACACTAACAAGACCATATGCATATAGACACAATCACACAGAATAAATTATTGTATTTGCAGGCTTCTATAGTGTAACCTTTTTGAATAATTAACAGTTTAACAAGATAAATACCAAGAAACTGAAATGTAACTTATCTGAGAGGGGCGAGTGGGTAAGAAGGAGTGGATGATAGGAGAGAATGGTGTGCAAATATAATCATTGTACTCAAGGTACCTGTGTGAAAGTGAAACTAGGGAAGTTGAGGTTGGTGTATAGGATCAATGTGGGGAGAGTAATGAAAGGGCTGGCACTGACCAAGATGCTTTGTTCTCATAAACTGAGACTGTTGAAGTGGAATACCTTTCTACAAGTATTTGGGGATAATAAAATAAATAGGTAAATAAATAAGTTGCTCCCTCACAGGAATCCCTATGAGCGTTAAATGGGATGCAGAGCAGTGCCTGAAACTTGAAACATTCAACTCATTATCTAGCAATAACTATTGTTGTTGCTGTCCTGACTTCAGTTTCAACATCTGTAAAGAAAAGTGAGGGGTGAAGCCTGGTGGCAGCAGCTCAGACCTGTAATCCTATCCAGGTACTTGAGGTCTGAGGAGAGTAGTTCAAAGCCAGTCCAGGCAGGAAGGTCCATGAGCCTCTTTCACCAAAAAGCTGGAAGTTGAGCTCAAGTGGAAGAGTTCTAGCCTTGAGGGGGGCGGGGGAGGGGAAACTAAAGGCCATGAGTTCAAGACCCAGTAGCAGCACAAGAGTAAGAGAGACAGAGAGAGAGAGAGAGAGAGAGAGAGAGAAACAGAGACAGAAACAGATAGACAGAGACAGAGAGGCAGAGAGGCAGAGAAAGAGAGAGAGACAGACAGACAGAATGGGGAGGTGGTTAAAGTATCTATGCTTGTCCATAATGAGGCAGAAAAGAGGCAGTCACACTGAAATGGAGCCTGACACTACGCTGAAATGCAGAGAAAAAAAATACTAAGCTCCTGTCATCAAAGAACTCACAATTTGAAGGGAAGACAGGAAAAGGCAGAAAACTGATTCAAAGCAAAATGTGTACAGGAATAGATAACAAAACCCCACAATGATTCATATATAGCTATATACGCCACTTTAAATGCACTACAATCCTCCTTTGGTCTTGGGAAGTTTACTTAGTCAAATGTGCCTCTGTTTCTTTGTCTATAAAAGTGGAGATAGTAAAAGAATAGCCCTAGCAAGGTTTATGAAAGATGAAGCTATTTCCTGTAAAGGCTCTTCTGGAGAAGGTGACAGAGGCAGGCATGCAAACATGATGGTTATTGTGATTTCAGAGGTAGAGAAGATATGAATCTTAAACTAAGGGAGTGGGAATGGTTTAGGGAGTCTGGGAGGGAGGCAGATTTAGAGGTGTGGGTTGAAGGAATGTTATCCTTCAAAGACCACCTAATTCATGTGGACATTAGAACTTGGGAGGTCTGGTTTACTTCACTTAGAATAATTTTTTCCAAGTTAGCTTTTCCTTTTCCTTATGAATGGGGCAATGTTATTCTTTCTGATGGAAGCATAGAATTTCATTTTGTGTGTGTGTGTGTGTGCACATGTGTGTGTTCCAATGTGTATACAACGTTTTCTTTATCCATTCATCCACTGAAGGGTATCTGGGTTGATTCCATATCTTGGCTATGGTAAACAATACTGCAATGAGCATGGTTGTGCTGGTGGCTTTAGTGTAGCCTGGTTTGTGGTCAAGTAGGTAGATTCCCAGAAGTGGGATTGCTAGGTCATAGGAAAACTCTATGTTCAGTCTTTTGAGAAACCTTCATACTGATTTCCAGAGTGTGTGAACAAGTTTACACTACTACACTCCCAGCAGTACAGTAGTGTTCCCTTTTGGCCATATCCTCACCAGCATCTGTTATTGTTAGCCTTCTTGATAGTGGCCATTCTAATTGGGGTGAGGTGAAATCTCGATTTTGCTTTGATTTGCATATCTTTTCTGGCCAGAAATGTGAAACATCTCTTCATGTGTCTATTGGACATTCTTATTTGTTCTTCTTCAGAGAAATCTCTCTTTAAGTCTTTAGCACATTTATTAATTGAGTTTTTGTTTCCTTGAGGATTTGTTTTGAAAAGGTTTAATTTTTTTGAGCTCGAAGTATATTTTAGATATGAGGTCCTTGTCTGATGCATAGCTGGTAAACAGCCTCTTCCACTCTGTGGGCTTTCCATTTATCTTGCTAGCTATGTCTTTTGCCATGCATTTACCCTTCAGTTTGATGCGATCTCATTTATCCAGTCTTTCTTTGTTTTGATATTGATCTTTACTTGGAAGTTTCAACCCGTACCTAGAAGCCCTAGTGATTCTTCTATCCCTTCCTGTAATATTTTCAAGGTATCTGGTCTTACATTGAAGTCTGATCCACTTGGAGTTAATTCTGGTACAAAGTGATTAATATAAAGATCTAACTTCAGTTTTCTGAATGTGTATAGCCAATTCTGCAAGCACCATTTGTTAAACGGGTTGTCTTTCTTCCATTTTGTGTTTTTGGGTCCCTTATCAAAGATTAGGTGGCTATAGGTCTGTGGGTTCATTTCTGGGTCTTCTATTCTATTGTATTGGTTCTCAGGCTTATTCTTGTGCCAGTACCAAGATGTTTTTATTACTATAGCTTTGTAATAGAGTTTGAAATTATACTAAGCAAAGTAAAACCCAAAGAAACACAGGCTGCATGTTTTCCCTCATTTGTAATATCTAGAATGTTCCTATAAATCTACAAGTAAACCCAATGGACAGTAAAGGACAAATAGGTACATCTGGACATGATTAAATAGCACTCTAAACATTCACACAGTGAGAACAAAGAAGTTATTCTTAGGAATGGATCACAAAGGGTTAATAGCTATGTGCCTGTGATCATATAAAATGATGCTTATCAAAATGAACTCCAAGAAATGGAAACAAGAGGTTTATTTTTATTATTATACTGTTCATGAGTTTTTTTTTCTTTTTTCTTTTTTTCTTTGATCTATTTCCTTTTGTCACTATGATTTGTTTCTGTGCCTTTTGTCTTGTATATAAATTTATCTTATTTGGGGAGAGGAAAGCAACAGAAACGGTCGACAAAGGGTGAACCAATTCAGCAGTGAAATCCACTAGACACTATGTTGGAAATGAACTGTATAACTTTGGGGAGTGAAAAGTCAGAAAGGGAAAAGCTGGGAGTGAATGAGAGAGGGGGTAACACTGTTCAAAAGTAAATGCGCTCATAATCTAACTTATGTAATCCTTTGTACATCACCTGTACAATAAGTTTTTAAAGTATAATAATAATAAGAATAACTTGGTCGTCTGGACCTCCGATATGGATCACGAGGGGGCGCACGAGGACCACGGCATCCTCGTTGCCCGTAGCAACCGCCATACTCGGGCCTGGGAGGTTGTGAGCAACAACAGCAAAATGGCCTGGAAACTCCTGTACTCCTTGGTCCCTGAGTTGGGGAGGAATGTCGCCATCTCCGCCAGTCTGTCCTTGGATCTAAGCACCATCCCCCCTACCCTGGGCTCCTCGGTGGCGACCACTGCCCTAGAGCAGCTCTTTGCCATAGGTGAGAGGCCCCGGGGGTGCAAAGTTCAGGGACAGGAGGCTGAGGCCAGGTGGAGCTCAGTGCTCCACCGCCTCTAATGGAAAATCCTCCTCCTGAAACCAGGGGACTCTGCCTGGCCAGGGTTTATTTGACGAATAGGAGAGGAAAAGGCTATGTTAAACTAGGAAACTTAGATTTAAATGGCTCCAGGCCAACATACTTATTAGAAAGCTCAATGTGTTAGTCCAAGAAAGGGTATTTCTGGGTAGCTCCTCAAAAATCATTTCTCCAAAGAGCAAAACATCTCATTGTTTTACTCGAATGAATCATCTTTCTGTTTCAAAATAATCATAGTGGTTTCTGCGACGATGTTGCTGTTTCTTTAGGATGCTTTCTTACTTCATAAAAGGCTTGATTTAATTCCACAGTTCTCAGGTCTGGACAAGTGTTATCATGAAGAATGTTCACCACTAATGAGATGTGCATTATTCATATGTTAATATTCATTGTTATTGATAGAACTTGGGCCTTTTTGTGTGTGTGTGTGTCCGGTCATGGGCCTGAACTCTGGGCCTGGGCGCTGTCCCTCAGCTCTTCAGCTCAAGGCTAGTGCTCTACCACTTGAGCCACAGTGCCACTTCCGGCTTTTTTCCGTTTTTTGCTTATGTGGTGCTGAGGAACCGAACCCATGGCCTCAGGCATGCAAGGCAAGCTTCCCAGCCCGGGCCTTGAATTCTTTTCATGATGATCTGTATATCACCGCCTGTGAGTCTTTAACATGGTGACTTGCAAAGTCACTTACAGAACATGTGGAGAAAGGACACACACACACACACACACACACACAAACACACACGCGGCTAGGAACAAGACAGAAACTCCTTCACAATTTCTAGTTTTACAAATAATCCCATTCCATGCTTCAAATTTTTGCAAGGAAGTAAAAATAACAGTTTATTTGATATGTGCCCCCTGGCATAATCCCATATTACTTTATATTAATATGTATTTAGTGTATGCATATGAAATCATGGCTAATCAAACCTTCAGTATAGCCATGGTAGATTTAAACCTCTTATAAGTATCAATATTTTTGCCCCATCCTAGTCATACTCTTTCTACCAGAAGATATGCAAAGATGAGTTTGTCTCCAAAAAGCATAAAATGCTTGTCTAAATTACAATGCTATGTAGTAGGATGTAGCAAGTACCAACAAAGTTCACATATACAATACATTTAGAAATCACTTCTAGTATTTGAACCAGAACATAAATGGTTAAATAGGATTTGAATAGAGAAAAGATCTTAATTTTCTAATCTCTTTGATTTTTAGAACAATCTCTGAAAAGTGACGATTTTAAATGCAATGAAGAAGCTAGTATCTTTCTTAAGGACATTGCTGTAGCTGTTAAACAACTGGTATTGTATTGTCTATTAGAACTACTTTTTCAATCATCTACTGTATTGTGTTATCTGTTAGCTCAACTTTTTCAATCATCCACTTAATTTTTCAAAAAACTTAATTTGGCACCAACTTCATTCAATTTATTTTAATAGGTGAATAGGTGAAACATTTGTCTGGAGTTAAAAATCTTTTTCGTTCAACTTGGAAAATATATCCATAAGTAGAGATTGCTGCCCAGTTTTCTATGTAGTAAATGAATTGTAGATACTGTGCTAAGGATGAGGTCAAATCACTTAGGAAAGCAATAGGGGTGGTAAGAAAACTTAGTGGAAGGACCAAATGGCAAATGCCTGCACACCAATATGTAACCACTTCTTCAACTCAACCAACCAACCAACAACTAACAAAACTCACTATTACCAACCAACCAAGTAAACATTCACTCAACAACTACCATCTAACCATAGCAAACTGACTATTTAAAAAATCACATGCATTATCCCTGGCCATAAAGGAAATGCAAATAAAATCAACTCTGAGATACCTCCTTACCCCACTCAGAATGGCCCAAATCCTAAATTCAGCCAATGACAAGTACTGCCAGGAATGTGGAGAAAGAGGAACTCTACTGCACTGCTGGTGGGAAGGTACACTAATACAACCACTCTGGAAAGCAGTCTGGAGGTTCCTTAGAAAACTAAACATAGACCTTCCAAATGACCTAGCCATACTACTCCTAGGCATCTACCCTGAGCAACAGGAACCAGGATACAAGGATACATGCACCTCCATGTTCATTGCTGCACTGTTTTACAATAGACAAGATATGGAAACAACCCAGATGCCCCACTACAGATGAATGGATCCAAAAATTATGGTACCTATATACAATGGAATATTATGTAGCCATTAGAAAGGACAAAATAATGGCATTCACAGGGAAATGGATGGAACTGGAACAAATCATATAGAGCTAGGTAAGCCAAGATCAGAGAGACAAATGGCACATGGTCTCCCTGATATGCAGATGTTAAATTCAAAACCCAACAAGATAAAACAAAGTAAACAGGACTGAAGAAACAAAGGAGCTCTTCTTAATTTGTGGTATCATTTTTAGATGACTCTATGTTCTTGACCCCACATATGGTATATACATGTGCACACATGAGGGAAGCTAGGAGGAGGGCACAGAATCAGAGGGAAACAGGTGAAAAATACAGCAGAGGGGCCATCAGCTGCACTGGACATTGATGAAAGTGAACCAAGCAACTCAAGGGCAGCATGGGAGGGAGGAATGAGAGGGAAGGAAAAGCTGACACTAAGCAAAAGGAGAGAAATGTACATATCACCAGATTTAGAAAAAAAATAGTTGTAGTGTCAAAGTTCGTAGAGTTCATAAGCTTCTAGGCCATGATAATGACAATTCTCCTTGTGTAGGTTAAAAATGTGTTTGTGACTTTAGCTAAGCACCACTATCTCACAATACTGTGAATTTTATGTAATCACTTAATCTCAAAAAAGAAATTTTTAAAAATTACCTTCAGCTAGGCACCCGTGGCACACACCTAGATCCTAGCTACAAATCAGGAGGCTGAGGTCTGAGGATAGTGGTTCAAAGCCAACCTGGACAGAAAAGTCCCCATGAGATTTTTTATCTCCAATTAACCACTCAAAAACTGGAAGTGGCACTTTGGCCTCGATCCCAAAGAGGCTCATGGACAACAACACCTAGGCCCTGAGTTCAAACCCCGCAACCTAACAACAACAACAAAAACAAAATCACATGCATGGTACCTACTATCAGTTTTCTCTAAGTTGCTTCTTTCACAGCAGATAAAAGATCATTTTTCATATTGTCTATTCCACTGGAATAGTCTTATTATTAATGAAAACAGCAGAACCTCTTTCAATTATAACCTAGCTCCTATCAAAGACATATTTAAGAAAAAAATTTAATTTTCTTCAATATATCTGTTTGTCATGTCTGAATGTTTCAAAGGCTTCTTCAGGATCAAAATGTTGAATGGTTCATTTAATTTTAAAATATCAAATAAGAATCTACTACATGTTCTAGATCTAAAAGTGTCGACATATAACTGTAAAGTATGGGAGTTGAGTCCACAGACGGCAGATAAAAATCTTATCACTTTATATCTTACATAATTACATGCAATTGTGGATGTATGGTACTTAGTCATATTTTATGATCCTAGTCAATTGAATAGAAACCAGTGTACACTGAAGAGTTTGTGTATGTTGTACTGCCAAGGGGTCCTATGGAAACTTTTCCTCTTCCTCATTTCTTTCGATTGTTTTTCTCCAGCATGTACAAGAGTCAAAAATACTCATTGTGTCTGATTAAAGTAACTAGTATGTATCTGTTTACTACCTGAGCTGTGAGACCTCTTATATAACAGAAAAATCTTTCCATTATTACAATAATAAATATTCTTTGAAAATCTGAGGAAGAAAAATAGGTAAGGAAAAGAAAGAAAGTAAAAACTGCTATGATCCCACTGCCCTAAAACCTTTAGTTAGTCTTTAAAGAATATCATACTTTCACAGTATATGTGATGTTTATATTGAACTTTATTTTGGCATTGAGTGTGAACTCAGCACCTTGTGCTAGCAATGCAGGTGACCTACTATCTGAGCTTTACTGTTTTTTGTTTTTGTTTTGTTTTTCCAAACAGATTGTTGAACTTTTGCCTGGGATTGACCTTTAGCTTGGCTAGGATTATAGAAGTGAACCACCATCGTCTGGCTTGTTTATTTACATGGGATCTTACTAAGTTGTTGCCCAGACTGGCTTTGAACCATGGTTCACCCATCTCTACTTCTAATCTATACTTCTCTACTGAGATTGTAGGCAGGAGCCACTGTACCCAGATGAATTTTATTTTTTAAAGAAAAACAATCTCAATGTATACACAATTATACAATGGATTGCACATGCACACACTCCTGTTCTAAGGATTGAACTCAGGAGCCTGGATACTGATCCTGACTTTTTTTGCTCATTACCACTTGAATCACAGTTCCACTGCTGCCTTTTTGGTGGTTATTTGGAGATAAGAGTCTCACAGGTTTTTCTGCCTGGTCTGGCTTTGAACTGTCAACTTCAGATTTCAGCCTCCTGAATAGCTAGGATTAGGCATGAGCCACCAGCAATCAGCTGTAACAGATTTTTTAGTTAATAAAATATATTTATAATTTTTCATGTCATAAAATAACAGTAGCTATTAACATATTTTATTTGAAGGAAAGAAAGAAAGAGGAGAGAGAAGGAAAGAAGGAAAGAAAGAAAGAAAGAGATTATCTGTTAGATTTTTAGAAAAATAGATTCTTCTATAGAAATTTTCTTTCTTTCTTTCTTTCTTTTAGCAATTGTTTTTAGCAATTGTTCCCTTCTTGTTGGAATATTTCCTTTTATGGTAATTAAAACTGTAGGCAGGAGAGAAACATATTAAGAAGATTTATGAGTAGAAGAAAGTAGAAATTAAAAAAAATAACAATGAGGCTTAAAAATTGGCTGTAGAAGCTGGGCTCCAGGGGCTCACACCTGTAATCCTAGCTACTCAGGAGGCTGAGGTCTGAGGATCGTGGTTCAAAGCCAGCCCAGCAAGAAAGTCCTTGAAACTCTTATCTCCAATAAACCACCAGAAAACTGGAAGTGGTGCTGTAGTTCAAGTGGTAGAGTGCTAGCCTTGAGCTGAAGAGCTGAGGGACAGCGCTCAGGCCCAGAGTTCAAGCCCCACGGCTGACAAAAAAAAAAAAAGGCTGTAGAATTTGTTCTTTTTCTGCCTTTTTATTCCAATAAAAATAATGGCAGTAGATGCTTAGTAAAAATTAGAGCTCAGAAAACATTTATAGAGGCTCATTTAGGAGACTACTCTTATTATTTTGGTAGATTAATTTGTTTTAATGTAACTTAATTTTTTCAGGAAGAAATGAGAAAGAACACAATCGATCTTTTGGAAATTGAGAGTATGGAACTGAGCAGGCTCTACTTCCTGCTGGAGACAGTGCCTGGTATCATTAACAGGGAAATGGAAGGTACTTCCGCTGTAAAGACTGAATTTATTTCCTATGAAAATAGAAACCAAGTACTTTTACTAAGCTGCATTTAATAGTTGACACTTATATAACTGCAACTAGAACGATTGCTTAAGACAGCATATCACTGATAATAATTTGTTTCTTACATTTTAAGAAAAACAACATATTCTATACAGAAATTTAAATCATTCCATGTCTAAGTAAAGATATATGATTAGCCTATTCCAAAGTGATATTTATCCAATTAAATTAGGCAGTTTGGCTAACTTAACCCTCTACTCTATGATTTGGGAGATTCTAGGAATTTAAGCGGCATAATCCAATATTGGTCCTTTTGTGACTTGCTTATTTCTCTCAGCATAATATCTTCAAGGTTCATTCATACTGTAGTGTGTATCAGAACTTCCTTCCTCTTAAAAGCTGATTATTATTCCATTTCAAGTGCTCACCACCTATCACTCTCTGCTTACCTAGACCCTGACTAATGGAGGTTGATTTTTCTACAGTTGTAAATAATGCTATGAACACTAGATAACAGATGTCTATTTGAGACTCTGTTTTCAGTTCTTTTGGATTTGTCTGCAGAAATGCAATGACTAGATTGCATGATAATTCTGAGTTCAGTTTTCAAGGAACCAACTCTTAGTGTTTTGCAAATGACTGCACCATTTTGCATGGCCAGCAGCAATACAAAGGGGTTCTAGTTTTACCATATCCTTGCTAACACTTACTACCTGCTGGATTGTTCTAATTTTTATTAAGCATGGGCTGGGACCACATTGTGGTTTTAATTTGCATCTTCCCACTGCTTAGTGAGATTGTACATCCTTTCCTGCCCTTATTGGCTGTTGGTATATCAGCTTTGGAAAAATGTCTATTCAGGTCCTTTGTCCATCGTCTAACTGGATTTTATGGGTGTCATTATTGTTACTGAGTAGTAGTTCTTCCTGTATTCTAGATACTAACCTTTTATTAGATATATACAAATATTTTCTCCCACCTCATGGCTTGTATCTTTACTCTGCGTATATAGACCTCTGATAAACAAAACATTTTTAAATTGGGGGGCAGCCTCATGCATCTTTATTTTTCTTCAGTATTAGAGTTTGGACTCAGGGAGTTCTACTGCTGAGCCGTGTCTCCATCTTTGTTTTTCACTGGTGAGTTTTGAGATAGGGTCTAGCTTTTGCCTAGGCACGCCCCTGGATTGTGATACAATGATTTTAGGTTTCCCATTGTTGCTGGGATAGTAGGCACACACCACTGTGACCAGTTTTACTCTGCTTAAATGGAGTTTCACAGACATTTCTCTCAGGCTGGCCTGAAACGACAATTCTCCCAATCTCAGCCTCCTGTGTCGTTTAGGAAGACAGAGGTGTGCCCAGATTTGTGTTGAGAGGGATCTCAACAATACTTTTCCGATGAGCCCACCTTAAAAACCACTATCTTCCCATTCTCAGCGTCCCAAGTATGTATTTCTCTCTTTTGTTACCTGTGCTTTTGGTATTGTGCCTAAGCAATCATTACCAAATCCGAAGTCTTGATGTTCTTTCTTATCCTAGTTTTCTTTTAACCGTTTTTTAAAATTATTATTGTTGCTGTTTTGTTTTGTTTTTGTACTGCTGGAGAAAAAAACCTGAAGACTCATGCAATCTCAGCCCCTTCGATTTTTATTTATAGTTTAGCTCTCCACTTAAGTTTGTGAATCACTTTTTACTAAAATTGTGTACGTGCGATAACTAACTTTCTTTTCTCAGCTGAAGAAATGTTGTCTTAAGGGTTGCCTTGGACAAAATAGACATGCCACCCCAGTTAACACTCTGCCCTGTCTGCCTCTGACATCTTGTGATTGGTCTCCATAAGGAATCAAAAACCTGGCTCCCCCACATCAGCAGAGAACATAAGTCTGAAATGTTAGCATAGCTCAAATCGCTTTCCAGTTTGACTTGTCCCTGGCCAGCCCTCTCTTCTCCTTTACTTCTCCAGAGGAGATCTCTTTCTTTCTTCCTTTCTGCCTTTCTTTCTTTCTGCCTTTCTGCCTTTCTTTCTTTCTGCCTTTCTTCCTTTCTTTCTTTCTGTTGTGGGGCTTGAACTCTGGGTTTGAAAGTTGTCCCTCAGCTCTTCAGCTCAAGGCTAGCACTCTACCACTTGAGCCACAGCAACACTTCCGGTTTAATGGTGGTTTATTGGAGATAAGAGTCTCACGGACTTTGCTGCCCGGGCTGGCTTTGAACCGAGATCCTCACTCAGATCTCAACCTCCTGAGTAGCTAGGATTACAGGCGTGAGCCACCAGCGCCCAGCCAGAGGAGATGTTTCTAAAAGCACAATTTTTAGAATCTGTTTCCTGACAAGCGCCCTTCAATAAGGAGCTCCTAATAAAAAGGAAACCACAAAAGGAACAATATATAACTTTTATAAAAGTAGATGTCTATCCAGGCATGGTTCTGTCTGCTATCTATAATCCTAGCAATCAGGAAGTGGAGAAAGAAGGATCAAGAGTTGGAGTCCACCTTGGGCTACGTATGAAGTTCAAGACAGGCAGTACTTGTCTTGAAAAAAGTAAAAAATAATGGTTGTTCCCATTACCCATTGGACGCCTCTCAGCTCCACACCTATACTTCATTGTCCTCTCCACAGTGGTGTGCCTGCAGTTTTCTTTTCCAACTGGTCTGTAGAGGGCACTGTAGAGCTACTGAAGTGGGGGTGGGAGTGGAGGGGCGGGTGTCTGGATGCTCAGCTTGGCAGCCTCAACTGTAATTCTGCAGCAATCCCATGGTCTGCAGTGCCAAGTAGTACTTCTTGGTACAGAGTCACAAAGACAAACCTCTCCTATAAAGAGCTTCCCTTAAAATCCCTTGGGCAGTTCTACAATGCGTTCTGAGGTGTGGCACTTCTGTGTGGACAAAAAGACCCAACACTTCAGAGAGCAGATTTCCAGTAAGTTCCAACAATCTAAAATGGTTTGTGCCCTTTTGACATTCGGTGAGCCTCAGCTTTCTCCAGTGAGGTCTGGAGGTGATGCCTTCTAGAGTTCTCTATCCCTGCCCCCACCCCGGGGCGGGGGGGGGGGGGGGGGGGGGGGGGGGTGCTTTTCATACCTCCTGTTATTCCTGAATCCTTTAGGACTGAATTCTCCTGACTTCTTGCTACTTGTTCCCTTGTTACTCGAATCTTCTGTTGTACTTAGAAGCCCTTTATAATGTAAACTGTTGAAACTTCTGTGAGATTAATGTCTCAACTAAACTATGACTGATACAGTAGATAACCAAACAGAATGTTTGATGCTAGTTTAATTTGACAGGGAAAATACACAAGCTACCTGAGAGAGAAAAAGTAAGACTTAGAAGAGTCTATACCAAAGACAGCACTAAAAGTGCTTCTGCTTTATTTCCTTGGATAACTTTATTTTCCATACAGAGAGTTCTATTTGTACAAAGGAAAAAAAGTTTTATTTTATTTTGCTTACATTAGCTATGGAGGGGTTATGCTTACATGTTCACACATGTTGACAATATATTTCAATTAGTCTTACTTAGTCATTCTCCCTTTTCCCCTTCCTGCTTTCCCAAAATATTTTCCACAGGTTTCATTATTCTACTAAGAAAAATATTTTAGAAGGAAAAAAAATCGTCTCATATTAGCTTATAAAAAAGAAACTGCGCCTGTCTAAGCAAGTGTTCAAAATTTCATGTATATTGTCCCTTTGTCATGAGCTGAGTAATTCTCTGAACTCTTATGTGATTACACTGCTTTTTAAATCTATGAGTGACTAGTTCTTTAACACCAATTTCAGGAAAGAGAGTCTGAGGCAATGTTTTTTTTTCACATGAATAGGTTTTAGGGAATGTAATCCCAAAAGAAAGGTGGGAAAAGAGACCAAGGCAGGGAAGAAGGAGAGCCACTATGGGGTTCATGATGATGCTAGCTTCTGCCAATTATAACTTAATATGATGAGAACATGCCTCTGAGACATAGTATTGCCTCTTCTTCAGATCTCATCTATCAGTAATACTTCCTCTTCCCTCCTATACTTTCTAGTTGTAGATGGATGGACAAGGTATCTAAAGAAATCCCAAAATGAAAACCACGCATGTAATCGTAGCTACTCGGGAAACTGAGAACTGAAGGTCACAGTTCAAAGCCAGCCTGAGCAGGAAAATCTGCAAGATGCTTTAATTTATCCACAAAAAGTTACAAATGGAGTTGTGGCTCCAATGGTAGAATACCAGCCGTGAGTGGAAAAGACAAGTGGGCACTCACACACACACACACGCACACACACACACACACACACACACACACACACACACATACACACATCTCATAGCAGAAACAATAAGAAGTCTCAAGCAAGAAATGAGAAGCACAAGGCCAGATGAGAATCACAGGTACTCTTAGACTGAAGTAGAAATGAGAGAAATTAAAAAGAAAAAAATAGGTAAGATTAAGAGGCACCAAAGTGATGTTAGAGCTGTCTGAAACACAACTTTTAAAATATTTCCAAGAAAGAAATGATTTGCAAAGCATCTACTATTGTGCTCTTTCTTAAGTAAATGAATAACATATCCTCTTGCCTTTAAGAATGTATCAGAGATGCTCGCAAATTAAATGTTTCGGAAATGAAAGAAATAGTGAGGAGAATTGTAAACATTGATAATGAAATAGCGTTTCTAAAGAAGAGCATACAGGAGCTGAATCACATGAATGAATCTCTACAGTAAGTATTGTATAAATCAGTACCTGAGCCTAGGGGTCTGGAGCTGGACTGGATAAACCCTGGTGAGGGCTTTGCCTTTTTAGCTGAACTGGGGCAGGGCAAGCTCACAGATCCGGATGAGTTGTAGAAGCTGAGCCAGGCTGATGAGGAGACTGGGGAGAGCAGAAATCTCCAATCACTGCAGCCTGGAGACCTGTGCCACTTCACAAGCGATCTTGTTTCTCAGCAGACTGTTTGGGGGGCTGGGGAAGCACATAATACTTGGACAATCATCTCTCATAGTAGAAGGAGATAGTGTTAATCACTCCACCTCACTCTAAAGATCTCTTGTTGGGATTATATTGCAAATATGTGTCAAACCAGGACTGTTGAATTCGGTTCCTCCAAAACATTCAGTTATTCGTCTTCTGGGGGCGGGGAGAGGACTAAGGATGGGGGTTGGCTTTTGGGAGAGAATTCCAGATTTTCTCAATATTTAATGAGATAAATTATGTGATTGTCTGGAGCTCCAGATCTGACAGCTCTTAGTGCCTTTCCCTTTCTTTCTGAGCTCCGCTGTCTCAGGCCAGCACTTTACTCCATAGGCCTCCTTTGCTCCAAAATCTGTAAAATAGAAACCACCCAGAGAAACATACATTCTGAAAGAAGAGAGCCATAAACCCCTTGGATAGCTTAGCACTGTAAGCAAATTTGCAAGCCTTTCTTTCTTTCTTTCTTTCTTTCTTTCTTTCTTTCTTTCTTTCTTTCTTTCTTTCTTTCTTTCTTTCTTTCTTTCTTTCTTTCTCTCTCTCTCTCTCTCTCTCTTTCTTCCTTTCTTTCTCTCTCTGTCTTTCTCTATTTTTCTCCCTCTCTCTGTCTTTTTCCTTCCTTTTCCCATCTTTCTCTCAACTGGGTTTTGAACTCAGGGCCTTGTGCTTATTAGGCAAATGCTCTCCCTCTTGAGACACACCCTCAGAGTTTTTTGCTTTATTTTTTCTGATAGAGTCTGAGGTTGGTCTCACACTGAGATCCTCGTACCTATAACTCTTTTTTTTGGGGGGGGGGGGTCTGGTCTTGGGTTCTGAACTCTGGGCCTGGGCGCTGTCCCTCAGCTCTTCAGCTCAAGGCTAGCAGTCTACCACTTGAGCCACAGCGCCACTTCCGGCTTTTTTATTTTTTTCTGCTTATGTGGTGCTGAGGAATCGAACCCAGGGCCTCATGCATGCAAGGCAAGTGCTCTACCACTGAGCCACCTTCCCAGCCTCTATACCTCTTACATAATTGAATCACAGGCAGGACTACAATACCACCCCACCCAGCTTTATTGATTGAGATGAAATTTCACTAACTTTTTGCCTGGCTAGATTCCTGAGTATATGGGATAACAGGTTGTGAGCCACCATTATCAGCTAAACAAATCTTTAGGGAAAGGCAAATTATAAACAGAAGGTGATTACTTGACAAGCTAACATTGCCAAACTATCACCATTTGTTGCCACTATTTTTCCAAGGAAGATTGTGGTCAAGGTACCCACAAACTCTAATGAGTGGTGATCATCTCCCTTTCTCTGGGTGGCCCTGAGAGACTTGAAAGAGATAGGTCTTTGAGTGTGATTTCCCAGGTCCCACATTCTGCCTGGAGTGTGCTCTTGGTCCATTGCAACATTACCTAGGTAGGCTTTCTGATCTGACTTCCCTGATTCTCCTCAATCCTGCCATCTCACTAGGCATCTTCCCTGGGCTTCTTTTTATTACATTTCTATTAATGAGATTGACCTCTGAAAAATAAATTGCCCAACAGCCTTTTTTGCATTTCCCTGAGCTTACAAGATGCCCTCAGTCCAAACATATACAATTAAAGGTCTTAACCTTGGAGACCATATAAAAGAAAAAACAAGTCCTTTACATTGCAGGAGCTTTAAAAAGTAAAATGAAAAAAAAAGGCACTATTATTCTTTCTTCAAATCATTTTATAGTTAAACTTTGGGTTGGATCCAGCTCCCAACATTAAGATTTTTCCTAGTGTGGTCAGCAATGAATGTGTGAGGTTAATGATCCCTCTTGTGTTCAGATCTGTCTGAGAAGGTAAGAAAGCTCAAATGAGCTCTCCAGCAGGTCTGTTTGTAAAAATAGCTTTATCTTGGATACACCATATAAGGCTATAGCAGCAACGTCGCTGGAGATGTGATAGGGTTAATACCCTTTATTTTCTTAATGACATGCCTGGTTATGATAAGACAGACATGAGGATGATACATAGCGAAACATTCATCTGGCCAGATCCCACTCACCTGTCCTAAGTGATGTTAGCTTGATGCTATACTTTATCCAAAATATTCTGCAATTACTACCTAGTACGTGAGGATGTATGGGTGAGAGGACCAGATTGTCCCTTGTCCTATGTTCTGTCTTCATCCCAATCAAGTTCAGATCAGAAACACAACCAGAAAATAAACATCCCATTCCCTTTCTACGAGAACTCACCTCACCAGACTTCAAATTCCTTTCCCAAATGCCATTCTTTTCAAGCTGGAAGTGATTCTTTCCCCGCAGTGAAAGGCAAGAAGAGCTGGCAAAGGAACATCAACATTTTGTCCAGAGCCTCAACGGCACAATGGAAGAAAAAGCTATGGTTAATGTTTTCATAAACGAGACCTATCACACAATCAGTAAAAGGAAAGAAGAAGTAGTGGAGCAAAAACAATGGATACAAGACACACACTGTGTAATGGAAAAACATGAATCACAATATTTATTAAGAAAAGAGGAAATACAGACAAAGGTAAGTGGCACCATGTATTTTTTAAATACAGAATTATCTAGAAGCTGAAGGAAGAAATAGGCAATAATGTATTTGTCCTCAAGGGTGGTAAAAGATTTTTGTTGTCTTCTGTGTCATTGGGAGTGGCAGAGTGGAAGGCTTGGGAACATTTGGAACCTCTTCGTGAAGATACTTGATTGTGTCCCAGGATCTCAGTTCATGGAAAAGAATATCAATGGTAGGATTTGTGTGACACTGGGTTGTTCCATAGCCTGAGATCAGATATTTTCCACCATACAGTCTCGTTGCTCTTAGCATTCTTGGCATTCTTGGACAGGACCAGGAAATCCATGTGCCAGTGCCTGCTTTTCCTTCCAAATGAATCTGAAAGAAGAGGGACCTTTTGCTGGCCAGTCATATCTGGAGCCTAAAGAGCAAACACTATGGAGACCAGCAATTTTGTGAGGGTGGGGTCTGTTTTCTTTTATTAAACTTTTGTTTCTGACAGAGGTTGCACCATGTTCCATGTGATGCTAAAATTAGGGAGAACATAGACCATGGCCAACTTGCTTGAGTCCTCTGCATCTGATGGACAGACCACACCTTCCATGGATTTATTGACATCACCAGCAAGTGAGGGTTTTAGAACAAGGTTCAAAAGAGACATTGGCATTTTCATACCCTGCCACAATAGCACTGAGGAATATTTGTGCCCCTCCCACTGTGTCTGTCCCTCAGCTAGTTTCTATTCCCTCCAGTGAGCCCAGAATCTTCAAGATGGCTCTAAACACTGAAGTTACAAAGGTGAAGAGTGAGCATCTGGCTGGGCATAAGTGGGCAAGGACTTCAGGGCAGTGGAGGAGTCAGGTGGGGATTCCTGTCCCTTCTTCACATCTCCTAGGACCAGAACAGTCAGTCAAGGTGGCAGCTCTTGTGAGTTTTACCCACCAGAAGGCAAGTCCTACGTCTGGTTTCTTCACTGGCATATCCTAGCACCAAGAATAGGGCCTGCATACCAAAGGTAGGCATTTGAACTTCTAAGCTCTACAGGGAAGAGTTTTTGTTATTGTTGTTTCCTCTCTTTCAGTTTTCTAACACAAATGTTAAAACCTTCCAAAGGAAGCTTAGAGGGTCTTCATATAGGAAATTCCCAGATCTGACGGGCTTGTCTGTAACCTGGACAGCCAGTCTGAGTCACACCACCAAAATATGTAATTATTCAATGAATCCAAGTCAGAACAAGGCACACTTAATCCCTAACTTCCTGGCTAACACATCAAATGCATTACCAGGACATTTAGAGCAACTAAACAACCTCAGATCTTGCACCTGGAAAGAGAAGAATTCAGGCAAGATGCAAGCATAAGCAAAGATGATAGGAAGGTTTATTAGAAAACAAACATGACAGAGAAAGAGAGCCATAGCATAGGCATACCACAGGGAAGATGGCATTTAGCCTATGTCTGCCATCTTGGGCCATCTTCAGCCATCTTCTCTTCATTACAAGAATTGGTCTGGGATTAAATGGTGAGAATTAGATGGCTTTCTGATTGGCTGCCTCCTTTCTGTTGCCTGTAAGGTTGTGGTGCCAAAGATTTACTGTCCCATCCTTATCCTCTCATTCTTTTGTCTTCTTTTTAAACTTTCTCATTCCTTTGTAGCCCATTCCCCCAACCCTCCATTTCATTGTCTAGCAGATTTTGGTTTATCACCTTATTTTGCCATTTGAAAGCTATATTGACTACACCTCCCTGCCTGTTTTCCTTCTACTGCTATATGACTTCTTCCTTGTTGTTATGTAAAGTCTCTGTGGAAAGGCCCACAAACTTTTCCTGTAAAAGGCCCAATAGTCAATATTTAAGGCCGTATAGTCTCTGTCACAGCTACACACTTTTGCCATTTTCCCACGGAAATTGATATAAATAATAACTAAATAAATGTGAGTGATTTTACATGGATGATGGTAGCTAGATTTGGCCCATAACACCTTACCTCAGGTTTGTCTCCCAGAAAGAAGGTACCATTTAAAAGGCTATCAGATACGAGGAGAAAGTCCTGGTTTAAGCTGGCTTAAACTGGTACAGCTGGCTCTTAACTCATCAACAGTAACTTCTAAAGTGGGTCTCCATGACTAGTTAGTGCAGTGACTCATCTTTCCTTCCACCTTCCATTCCAGTGTGATCTCCCTCACGGTTCTCTATGAGCCCTCCTCCACTGTGTCTGATGGGGTAGGGGCACAGAGTGCTCAATCCTGGAACAGCAATGAATCCTTAAGGAGAGTCATGTGCCAATAGGTTAGACCAACTGAGGCTAAAGACATACGACAGGCCCTGGTCACATCCAGTTCATTTCCTTACCCCCTTGATAAAGGAAAACCTATCACAAATGTCAGTGTATCTTCAAACCCATCAGATCGTCCCTACATAAACAAAATATTGTTTGCCAGTGTTTGCTCTATAATTATAAGACATTGGGAGAAGAATCTAGCCAACCAAAGTATGCATGTGGATTTCTAATTTTCAGTGAAATTGATTAATCATCACATTTTATTTACGTTCATTTCAGCCTTGATACAGAAATAAGTGCGTAGGATCACATTCATTCAGAGTAGCTACTTTAGATGAAGTAGTTGCTGGATTAAATGGAAAGTTTTCAGATGCAGATTTTCACAGTTCTTGAATACAGACTTGAATATCTTTCTTAGATTTTCCTACTTATTACCTTATCCTTGATCACTTGTTTTGCATGCAAATCTATTTGATTTTGATAAGGAAGTCATCACGCATTTTATTAGGGTCTGGCAATGATCAGAATCTGTTTGATCTTGGGCTGAGAGTGTGACTCAAGCAGAAGAGCGCCTGCTCAATGTGAGGCTCAGAGTTTCAAACCTCAATTTAACCCCCTCAAAAAAAAAGTTTGAAAGAATATATTGATTTTAGTAAAATGAAAATAAATCATCCAGGGTTAGAAGCTACCTTTTCTTCGCTGATTTTTTTTTATGCTGTCTTTATTTGGTTTTCTTTCTCATTAAGTAATATAAATTTGGAGACCTAGAAAATTCCTAATTTTCCTTTGACAATCCTAATCTGTCTAGTCATTGTAAATTTTGCAACCATTACTAAGGTGTTTTGCTCATAAATCACGACAATGATAATTTACTTTTTTATATATATGGGGGTTTGAACTTAGAGCCTCACGCTTGCTTTAGTTTCCTTACTCAGTTGATGTTCTACCATGTGAGCCATGCTTTCAATTCTACTTTTAGGAGATAGAATCTTGTGCTCTTTTCTTCCCAGTCTGGCTTCAAACTACAGTCCTCCAGATATGAGGATTTATGGCTACTTCCAAGTAGCCATACTTAGGTGTGAGCAAACATTTATTAGTGTTATTGCTATTAATGCTTGTTAATAGCACTAATAAATATTATTAATGATGATTCATATTATTGCCCTTGTAATTTACTATTTCATTTTTGAATATAATTTAATCCATAGGGTCCATCATTTATATTTGATCTTGCAAAATAAATGAATTCTGATTTTGTTTTACTTTGTTAGTATATTTAGATTGACTAGAGCACATGTAAATTGAATATAAATTAAGTTGACAATTCAATAGATTTTCTAAACTCTTGTGCTAAATGGCTTTTTAATTGGTTTACTATTTGTCACTACAGATAACTGAAATCAAAACTCAGTGTGACAGTAAGAGGAAGGAGACTTACGTAAGGAAGAAAATACTCGATAGATTAAAAACAAAAATGAAGGAAATGAATCAAACAGTTACTGATACCTCAGAGGTAAGAAGGGATAAACTATGTTCTATCAAGTCTGATCTGAGCATCTCATTAAAAAAAATTGACTTTGGCCCATTGCAACAATAAGAAGTACAAGTTGTCATGTCGAAAATGAACTTTACAACTTTGGTGGGGGGGGGGAAGATTGGGGGGGCTGGGGGGGAGACTGGGAAGGGATGTGAAGGGCAAACAAAGGAGGAGGCTACAATGCTTGATAAGAAAAGTACTCATTATCTTGCCCATGTAATTGTAACCCCTCTGTACAGTATGTTCACAATAAAAAATAAAAAAAAAAATTGACTTTGGAGTGGGGTGGGGGGAGATGGGGAGTGGAGGGGTGGGCAGATGGGAAGGGATGGGAAAGGGAAACAAAGGAGGAGGCAACAATGCTTGATAAGAAATGCTTGATTGTAACCCTTCTGTACGGTATTTTCATAATTATATATATATATATATATAAAAATTGATTTGAATGCATCTTTATGCTATTCTGGAAGAGAACTTTTGACATGTTAACGTTTTCTGACATTCTGTGTGTGGGTGGGTGGGTGTGCCAATACTGGGTCTTGAACTCAGAGCCTCATGTTCCTCCTGGCACTCTACCATTTAATTCAGACCTCCACTTCTAGCTTTTTGGTGGTTAATTAGAGATAAACATCAGTTGAATCTGTGTGCCCTAGGCTGGCTTCAAATAGTAATCCTCAGATCTCAGCCTCCTAAATAGCTAGGATTACAGGTATGAATCACCAGCACCCAGCTTCTGACTTTTTATTTTTTAAAGAATCACAGTACTGTGCTTTTCTTCTTTAGGAATATAGTGGGCAGAGGAAGTTTTGGTTGTCTTTGGTACAAACTGTATATGAATAGCTCAAATACTGTGAGTCGTTGATTTTTTTTTAAATCCTCTAAAACTAGCTAACTATGTGTGATAACCTTACAATCTGCATTAATGTGAGGTATAATTAACTTGAAAAAGAGACAATTTGTCTATTTGAATTACAGAAGACCTCACAGTTTTTCAGTTTGTTTATTTATTTATTTATTTTTAATTTTTGGTCAGTGGCGGTGGGTCTTGAACTCTGGGCCTGGGTGCTGTCCTTCAGCTCTTCGGCTCAAGGCTAGTGCTCTGCCACTTGAGACACAGTGCCACTTCTGGTTTTCTGGTGATTTATTGGAGATAAGAGTCTCATGAAAACTCCTGCCTACGCTGGCTTTGAACTGTGATCCTCAGATCTCAGCCTTCTGAGTAGCTAGGATGACAGATGTGAGCCACTGGCGCCCAACTAGTTTAATTTTTTAAAATCATCACATGTAGAAACTTGTGGGACACAGCAAAAGCAGTCCTGAGGGGCAAATTTATTGCCCTCAGTGCCCACATCAAGAGAATGGAGACAGACCAAGTAAATAATCTCATGCTGCAACTAAAACAGCTAGAAAAACAAGAAAAAATGGGACCTAAAGCTACTAGACGAAGCCAGATAACCAAATTGAGAGCAGAGATTAACCAATTAGAAAATCAGAAAACCATAACCAAAATAAACCAAACAAAAAGCTGGTTCTTTGAAAAAATAAACAAAATTGATGGCCCTTTGGCAAGATTAATTAAAAAAAGAAGAGAGGAAACCCATATTAATAGGATTAGGGATGCCACGGGAAACATCACAACACGTACCCAAGATATCCAAACAATTCTAACAGACTACTTTCAAAAGCTATACTCTCTAAAGGAAGAAAATCTGGCGGAAATGGATGCATTTTTAGAGAAATACAAGTTACCCAAACTGAGCAAAGAAGAAGTTAACCAATTAAATAAGCCAATATCCTATAATGAGATACAGGAAGCTATCAAAAGTCTTCCAACAAAAAAAAGCCCAGGACCAGATGGATTCACAGCAGAATTCTATAAGACCTTTAAAGAAGAACTAATACCCATACTCCTCAAGCTCTTCAGAGAAACAGAGAAGGAGGGAGCTATCCCAAACTCATTCTACAAAGCCAATATCACACTCATCCCCAAACCAGGCAAAGACCCAACCAAAAAGGAGAATTACAGGCCAATCTCCTTGATGAACACAGATGCAAAGATCCTTAACAAGATTCTAGCTAACAGAATCCAGAAACACATAAAAAAAATAATACACTATGATCAGGTAGGCTTCATCCCAGAGACACAGGGATGGTTTAACATACGTAAGTCAATAAATGTAATCCAGCATATCAACAGAGCCAAGGTCAAGAATCACATGATTATCGCCACAGATGCAGAAAAGGCCTTTGATAAAATTCAACATTCATTCATGCTAAAAGCTCTGGAGAAAATAGGAATAGAAGGAACATTTCTAAAAACAATAAAAGCCATTTATGACAGACCAATAGCCAATATTATACTTAATGGGGAAAAGCTACAACCAATCCTCCTAAAAACAGGAACAAGGCAAGGATGTCCACTGTCTCCACTCCTCTTCAACATAGTCCTAGAACCCTTAGCCAGGGCAATAAGGCAAGAAAAAGACATTAAAGGGATCCGCATAGGGAAAGAAGAAGTGAAACTATCCCTTTTTGCAGACGACATGATACTATACCTCCACGATCCCAAAAACTCCATCCCCAAACTTTTAGAAATCATAAGTCACTTCGGCAAAATAGCAGGATACAAAATAAACCCACAAAAATCAGTTGCCTTCCTATACACTGATAACGCACAGGAAGAGAGGGAAATAAAGGGAGCAACCCCATTCACAATAACCTCCCAAAAAATAAAATATTTAGGAATTAACCTAACCAAAGATGTAAAAGAACTATTTAATGAGAACTATAAAAAGTTAAAGAAAGAAATTGCAGAAGACACTAGGAAATGGAAAGACCTCCCATGCTCCTGGATAGGCCGACTTAATATAGTAAAGATGGTGATACTTCCAAAACTAATATACAAATTCAATGCAATTCCTATTAAAATCCCAATGACGTACATCACTGAAATACAGAAAACAGTCCAAAAATTTATATGGAACAACAAAAGACCTAGAATAGCCAAAACAATTCTAGGGGATAAAGACAATATGGGAGGGCTATCCATGCCGAACTTCAAACTCTACTACAGAGCTATAATCACAAAGACAGCATGGTACTGGCACAAAAACAGACCCGAAGACCAATGGAACAGAATAGAAGATCCAGATATAAATCCACAGGCCTACAGCCAGCTGATATTCGACAAAGGAGCCAAAGACATACAATGGAAGAAACACAGCCTCTTCAACCGCTGGTGCTGGGAAAACTGGGCAGCCACATGCAGAAAACTAAAAGTGGACCCCAGCCTATCACCATGCACCAACATCAACTCAAAATGGATTAAAGACCTTAACATTAAACCTGAATCTCTGAAACTACTGCAGGACAGAGTAGGAGAGACACTTGAACTAATAGGCACAGGAAGGAACTTCCTGAACAGAGTCCCAGGGTCACAACAAGTTGGAGAGAGACTCGACAAATGGGACTACCTTAAAATAAAAAGCTTCTGCACAGCTAAATCTATCGCAACTAAGCTAGAAAGACAACCAACTAATTGGGAAAAAATATTTACCAGCAATATATCAGACAAGGGGTTAACATCCTGTATATACAGGGAACTCAAGAAACTAATCCCTCCCAAACCTAACAAACCAATTACTAAATGGGCAAGGGAACTAAAGAGGGACTTCTCAAATGAAGAAATAAAAATGGCAAAGAAACACATGAGGAAATGTTCATCATCCCTGGTGGTGAAGGAAATGCAAATAAAGACAACCCTGAGATACCACCTTACCCCAGTCAGAATGTCCCACATCCACAAATCAGCCAACGACAAATGCTGGAGGGGATGTGGAGAAAGAGGAACCCTATTACACTGCTGGTGGGAATGTACACTTATACAACCACTTTGGAAAGCAGTCTGGAGGGTCCTTAGAAAGCTAAAGATTGACCTCCCTTACGACCCAGTCATACCACTTCTAGGCATCTACCCTGAACAACAGGAACCAATATACAAGGACACGTGCACCTCCATGTTTATTGCAGCACTGTTTGCAATAGCTAGGATATGGAAACAACCTAGGTGCCCCACCACAGATGAATGGATCCAAAAATTGTGGTATCTATACACAATGGAATATTATGCAGCCATTAGAAATGACAAAATAATGGCATTTGCAGGGAAATGGATGGAGCTAGAAGGAATCATGTTGAGCGAGGTAAGCCAAGAACGAAGAGACAAACGGTACATGGTCTCCCTCATAAGTGGATGCTAAATCCAAAAGGTTAGGTGATACGACAAAACTAACAGGACTTAAGAAACAAAGAACTCCCGCTCATCTGGTTGAACCACTACTAAATATCCTCATGCTGCTGATCACAAATATGGTATATAACATGTGAACACTGTTATATATTACAGACTGTGGTAGACAATTTGCTCCAGGGAAGTTAGAATGAACTTGTGACTTTGAAATTATGTAATCATTTAATCACAATAAAAAAAAAAAAAAAAAAAAAGAACCTCGGGGAAGGGAGGGAGGGAGGGGATGGTAGGGGGAAAACAATGGAGGGGGTAACAATGTTCAAGAGGAAGTGTACTCATAACCTCACTCATGTAACTGTAACCCTTGTATAGTAGCTTTACAATAAAAAATAAAATAAAAAAAAATCATCACATGTATTGAAAACCAGCACAGTAACATGTATTTGTGAGGATTATCTTTATTTTAAAAATCAGAATATTGGTGTTCTAGAAGGTGACTGCAAGTATGAAGAGGTTAGTATCATTAATATCATTATGTACTCTGTATCAATTAAAGCAGAAATACCTTCTACCACAATTAGTTGAATGAATCATTAGAATATCTGTTCTATGTGTATTGAAAATCATGTAAAACCATGCTCATGTCACAGTGACACAGAATCATGGCTCTGCTCACTTTAATTACAGTATATCAGTTATGATATACAATTAGGTAACAGTTATAAAAAAAATAAAATATTTGGGGCTGGGAAGGTGGCTCAGTGGTAGAGTGCTTGCCTTGCATGCTCGAGGTCCTGGGCTCGATTCCTCAGTACCACATAAGAAAAAAGCCAGAAGTGGCACTGTAGCTCAAGTGGTAGAGCGCTAGCCTTGAGCTGAAGAGCTGAGGGACAGCGCCCAGGCCCAGAGGTCAGGCCCCACGACCAGACCCAAAAAATAAATAAATAAAATATTTCTCCCAATATGGGCATTTAAGGTATCTGGTTTTGGATTGTCTGTGTGTGTGGTACTGGGATTGAATCCTACACCTCACAAATGCAAGCACTCTATCGCTTGAACTATACCCCCGGCTGTTTTTGCTATTAGTTTTTCAGGTAGGGGCTCAGGAACTTTGTCCTAGGCGGCCTTGCAATCCATACCCTCCCGCTCTCACTTTCTGAGTAGCTAGAATCACGGGCTTCTGCCACCATGCTTTCTCGTTTTTTACATTTCAACATAGCAAGGATGAATAAATCAGACCAGATTTACAAGAAAATATAGAAGTGAAACAAAACATATTTTGCCTGTATGCTCGAGTTTATATTTCCACCCCACAAAACCTAACATGGGGAAATTAAGTATATGTTCCTTAATTTCTACCCCGAGATCTGTAGGGCCAAATTAGATGGCAACTATAAACTCATCCCAAGTCCTTCTCCATTTTCTCAGTCCAGCCTGCCTGAACTATAATGGTATATAAAACTAGTGTGTATATAATGTATATTACAAATATATATACTATGTATATTATACATATATGTTTATATATATATATTCTTTGCCTGTTGCAAAGAATTTTTGTGGAGACAAAATGTTGCCATGCCTATCATCAGACTATTAGCTCAGGGCTTTGTATTTGGTAATGATTCCACATCTGGTTATGGACCCAGACCACAGAGAAGTTCAGATTTTTGTTGTTGTTTTGAGAAACAGTCTCACTGTGTAACACAGACTGGCCTGTGGTTTTTCTCAAACTCATAATTCTCAGCCTCCTAAATGCTGGGATTACAGGTGTATGTGAACTTCCATGACCAGCTAGAAGTTCAGATTAACCTACATGTAGCACTTTTCAGTTGTAAGACTCTAGCCAGGTCAAGGTGATGCAGTGTTGGCAGAAGAGAATAAATGGGTGGGATTCTAAGGCAGGCCACACATTCAGGTAAAAATGACTGACACCTAGAAGTAACACGTCAAGAGAAACAGACCTTCAGCATTAGCCGTGAGCCTGATAATTTATCAGAGATTTTTCAACACGCTGCTAACTTTGATGGCAGTCCTAGAACTTCAGGCTCCTATTAACTCTAGTACTAGCTGTGGCCCACAAGTTTAGCCTTATAGATGCTCTAGAGAAAGAAACTGCTTTGAGTAGTTTTCACCCACCTATTGTACACCCACAGGTGTTTTTCTTACCCCACCAATGTCCAAAGCTAGATGATTTAAATAATCTGTCTCTATGTCAGAGAGATGTGATGGCTGTCTTATTTAACACTTTGTTTAAGAACAATTTATTTGAAGCTGAGAGCTGGTGGCTCATATCTGTTAATCCTAGCTACTCAGAGGCTGAGATCAAGGCTTGAAGCCAGCCTGGGCAAAAAAGTCAATGAGACTATCTCCAATAAACTACTTTCCCCTAAAAATAAACGCAATATAAAAGCTAGTGGTAAAACACTACCCATGGTCAAAGGAAGCTAAAGTACAGCTCCCAGGACCTGAGATCAATCCAGCTCAAGGACTGGCATAAAAATAAATAAGTAAGTAAATAAATAAATAAGAACAATGTATTTGAGCAACCTTCCCTCACTCTATTTTCTCTCATAAGGTGAAATGAATTTGTTTGATTTCCCTCTTCTTTATACCACAACTTCATTGTAAAAGTATCTGTTCTACTATTAATTTTCCCCAACAATTTTCCATCTTTTAAGGCCCAGTATGTGTTCATTCTTTCTCATATTAACCTGAGATAATACCTTGAAGATAATTATGACAATACTAATTGTCATGAAAGTAAGAATTTACTTACATTTTCAAAAAATGTTAGATAAAATTTGTTCTGTCTTACAAGTTTTTAAAATTTATTTAATAGTGTTCACATTCTCATTGCTGTGTTCAGTCATCCACCACATTTAAGTTTAGGTTTTCTGATGATTTTACTATTATTTTTGACCAAATTTAATAATTATAAGGATTAGAGCGCTAGCCTTGAGCTGAAGAGCTGAGGGACAGCGCTCAGGCCCAGAGTTCAGGCCCCACAACTGGACCCCCCAAAAATAATAATAATTATAAGGATTACTTTTTTCCTACTAAAGGATAGTCCCAGTGTACATAATGAATGATTCATGAATATTTAGTGAAATGGAACTGCTATTATGAATCATTTGATGATAATTGTATGTCATACTTCTGTTGAATTTCCAATAGGTTGTTAGTGAGCACAATTTAGAGACATCACGACTACAGTCAGCAATAAATACCTGGAAAGATCAGGTTGAAAATATGAAGAAAGCTTGTACTGTTATGGACGAAAAAATGTGAGTGGTATTCCTTTTTACTGAAGTAAGACTAGTTTTCTACCATTGGTCAAACACATGAGACAATCACTTTACAAAGACAAAAGGTATATTTTGGTTCCCAGTTTTTTTCTTTTCTTTTATTGTAAAGATGCTGTTCAGAGGGGTTACAGTTACATGAGTAAGATAATGAATAAATTTCTTGTCCAGTATTGTTACCCTCTCCTTTGTTTTTCTCCTACTACCTCTTCTCTCCCCCATCTCCTCCACTTCTCCCCCCACCAAAGTTGTAAAGTTCATTGCCAACATAGTGTCTTGTGAGTATCATTGTTGCAATGGGTCATCCTGTGTCCTTGTCTCAGCATTTTGTTATTCCCTTTCTCCTCCTCAAATTAGATAAATGTATATACAAGATGCAGGGTACCAAAATCAAATACAGTGACAACAGGGGATTTACCATAGGAGGAAGAATATACAAAAGAAACAAAAAAAGAAATCACATAGTTCAGTAAAAACAACAACAACGAAAAACCTCTTGTGTCCATATCTTGGGGTTCATTTTGCTTAGCAGCATCTTATATGGTCATATGTACATAACTTCTGAGCTTTTCTGCTCATCTGCTAAGATTATCCTAGACATATACTAATTGTTGCAAATAAGGAAAACCACAGGACCTATAAGGTTCCAGTCCATGATCATTTGGCTCCATTGTTTGGTGCCTATGGCAAGGCAGCACATGATGGTATCAATGTATAGCAGAGAAAAATCCATTTACCTCATAGTCAGGAAGCCAAAGGAAGAGGAAGCCACTGGGGTGGTAGAGCACTTTCCATGGGCATGTCAGCCAAAGGCCTAAAGGCTTCCCATGAGGCCCCGTCTCTTAAAGGCTCCACAATCTTCCAGTATCAAGTCTTTAATATATAATCCTTTAAGGGATACTTAAGGTTCCCCAGTCAATATGCTACTCTCATTTTTAAATATGTCTTTAATACTTCCATGGAAATTATATTTGCTTAGTTTACCCAGATTTGTGTGAGAGCTTCACACAATCACCTGTTCATTTTGAGATTAGCTAGTCTTACCCATGACCGAGAGAATTTTTTTTAATGCGGATGATGTCATCACTTTGGAAAAATGGAAAAACTCAGAATGTGTTATCCTCACTTCCATTCATGACTCCCTACAAACAAAACTGCCAGAAAAGGAAGTGTTATGGGGATATGTTGTAAGGCTACAATTCACCACATTGTTTGTTATATGCTGTTTATACTCAAAGTGGCCTACAGAACCTGCTGAGAAAATACAAGCAGGCCTTGTAGAAAAATATTCCCTACATCCAAAAGCTCACATCTGTGAGCTTTCCCTCATGAAAGTACCTTGTACTCTTTATCTGCATCCAGTTTTCTTCTTGGAGGACACATAGCAAAGCCCGCCTCTGCCAAACCTTGGGAAACAACCTGTCACCTATTTTCAATTTTGGTACTAATTAAGCTTTCCTACTTGTGAAATCTTATGATACTGGGTATAAACATTACTTATTTATACATATTATATATATGTATATACCATAATTGATCTTAAACAGAGTTTTTAATGTTCTACAACCCTGAAACAGCTCTTCTCATTGACATTCCAGGTCATTTAATGTAACACCACCATTGACCTCTGTATCCAAACTAAAAAAGCCTAAGAGTCATTCACTACTTCTGCTTTCCCCTTTACCTAGCCCTACCCCATTGCAGTTACAAATCCAGAGGCTCATCTTGTTACCCTCATCCTTGATCTATATCTAGACTGCACTTAATGCTGCCTGTGATCACTACATCCTTAATCTGACTACAACTGTAGCCTTACCACAGTTTGTTCTCCCTCGCTGTTATCTTTCTCCACAAAGTAACCAGACTCACTTCTATAAGATCAGAATCCATTTTTTGTTGCTCTTGTGCCTTAAAAAAGTCTTCCCTTGAACTCTTATCTTATTTTCAAGTCTTTATCCCTTCAACCTTATGAAATCTTTTCCTTAAATACAGCAAGCTTACCCTTGAGCACAAAAGCTCAGGGACAGGGCCCCACGATCAGCATAAAAATAATAAAATTTAATAAATATTGCCAGATTTAGCCTGCCTCTGGGTTTTCTCCTTTGCTGTCTCTTCTTCCTTCTGATCTGTTCATGGCTGGCTCCTTACCACTCAGCTTTACCCACCAGCTGTCCCTAACTACTTGTCCGGAGGAGCATTCTTATTCTCAAGACCTTAGTCTTCGGTACCCTACTCCGTGTTCTTTGGAACATCTAACACTTTCTGAAATATATTATTGATTCTTTGATTCCTTGTGTCTATTATAACGACTCCACTAGAATGCAATTTCCATGAGAGCTGTGGATTTTGCATATACTCTATCCCTAATACCTACAACAGGTCTGGCAGAGTCTAGGTGTTTGACAATTGATTTTTGAATGAATGAATAAATAAAACATCAATTTACTAACTCAAAAGAGTAAAAGAAAGTTCTTCCTAGTAAATATAGGCTGGAACTTTCAGATGCTATAAGTAAATTTTTCTTTGCTGAAAATCATGTCCTAATGTGACTCTGTTGATTTCCTTTGTTCATAGGAAATTTTTTGCAAAACACAAGGAACAAATAGACACTACAACTACTAATGAAAAAGGTGAATATATAAAAAAGATAAAAGAGGTAAGAAGACAGCAGTGATAGCTTTCAGATTATGGTTATATTTTGTTCTTAGTTAATATTTTAAATATGTGTGAGAAACGTACAATTTTAAAGCTGACTAATAATTATGATTGTCAACAAAAAATGGATTGAAATATTTTATCTCCTCCCAATGTATTTTAAATATGTGAAATAGCAAAGGCTGTCCATGTGAATAGAAATTGTCTGTGAAGTGTGATAATTTTACACTAGCAATATCTGTTATTAATGGATATTTTGTGTAAATTATTTACAGAAACTATGATCTTGCTATTTTGTAGGTAAAGTATAGCAAACTGTTCCATATTTATTAAAATTAGTGTTTATTAAAAAGTATTTCAGTCAGGGTTAGCTCTAAGGAAAGTACATTTTGTTTTATTTTTCTTCTTTGTTCTTCTGAGTTTGTTTTCTTTCTCTTTTAATTTTTTTAATGTTTTGTTTTTAGCTCTAGATTTTTTGCATTTTCTAGACTTTTTGAACTCAGTTTAAAAATATTTTATTATAATGAAGTAATTGAGTCTAAGCCAAGACTTATTCACCAATCTTCTATTAGAATAATGAAAACTGGAGTAGGAGGAATATGATTTTGTACCTGAGTCTTGAACTCAGAACCTGAGTGCTGTCTTATAGCTTTTCCACTCAAGGCTGAGGGCTTTACCATGTGAGCCACAGTTCCACTTCCAGCTTTTACTGGCTAATTCGAGATAAGACTCTCAAAGACTTTCCTTCCAGGCCAGCTTTGAACTTTGATCCACCTGAGTAGCTAGGATTATAGTTGTGAGCCACCAGCACCTGAGTAATACAATTAAAATCCAACAAAAGAGACTTGAATAAATATTAGTCATGTTTGCAGTATATTATTGAGTGATGATTGCATTATAAAACCTACTGTGATATAGTCCCATTTGTTTATGTACATGCACAAATACACAGACATACCAGTGATAACTGAACTTTACTCCTGGCATTGAAGAAGAAATGCTCTTGTCATCTCTCTCTCTCACACACACACACACACACACACACACACACACAAATTACATTTGCAAATTTAACTTCCCTAGTCCTAGCATTGTAACATCATACCTTTTGTCTATATCCTCTATCTCTGTCTTATACTATGTCAATCAGGTTATAAAATTCATCTCTTTCACTATATTTTCTAAAACAAATGTAATCACAAACATCTTGGGATCTATTGCAAGCTTTGTTGGGAATTTCAGTTGTTACATGAAAGAATCTCACTGAAGAGCACATTGTGGGGGTGGGGGCAGGGTGAGAGGGCAGTACTCAGATTTAAACTCAAGAGCCCTGCTAGTGCTTGCTAAGCAAATGTCCTGCCACTTGGTCCATACTTCCAGCCCTTTTTTGCTTTAATTATCTTTCAGTTACAGTCTTATAATTTCACCTGGGCTGATATGAGATCATGAACTTGTAGACATGCTATGATGTCCAGCATATTTTTGAGATGCGGGGTGGGGGGGGTGTGAATTTTATTTGCTCAAGGTTGGCCTTAAAGGGAAATCTCTGCTACTTGAATATCTGCTACTTGATCTCTGCTACTTGAATATCTGGGATTACAGATACTAACAACTACACTGGTCCCTCATTCATCCCTTGCTGTAGGAAGTGTGCTTACCTCACTGTTACAAAGCAAAACATCTCTTTCCATCTGAGGCCTGCACCCAGGCCTGTAAATCAGCAGAGACCTTCAAGCACTTCCCACCCAGAAGAATGACCTCCATTGCTTGCATTCTTTCTAGTTTTGGTGCTGTGAACCTTCAGCTATACAGATAGTTTTCCTTTAGAGCTAGTAGCCCTATTCTGATCCTTTTGGCTGAAAGGAACGTGCAAACAAGACAAGGTTCATTGGGTGGTCAGTTTTAAACTTGCCTTTTGTTTTCTGAGCAAAATATGTTTTTCTTTCCATTTATCCCCCTTTCTTTGTAGACGCTTCGACAGCCTTCAGGCAATGGCTCCACATTCCCCAGCTCTCATAATTATCTAATAGTCCAGGACCTATATGCTGACATAGTTCTTGTGTTTAGAAGGGCACATATAGAGAGATTTCCCTTCCCTTATTAGCTCTCAGCCATATGCCAAGGATACAAGTGAGTAATGATTACCAAGGGAGGAGGCCCTGAACCATTTATTGTTTGTACTAGGCTAGAAACTGGACTGTTTGAGGCATCGATCAGAATTCTCCCGACTTATTGAAGACCAGTTCAAAGATGACATTAAATTCTATTAAGGGTAGAGCTTTCACTTTTCTTCCCAATATCTCCCCTTGTCTTCTACCTCTTCCCACCGCAGCCCTTCCACTCTCAACTTCTACACCTTCAGCTTCTCAAGCTTCCACACAGAAATAACACAATGCAAGGTTCGTATTTCTGTGCCTGGATTATTTCACTTAACGTAATGTCCTCATTTATGTTGTTTCACGCAATCGGATTTTATTCTTTTCTAAGTCTGGACAGTATTCCCTGTGTGCATAAACCACATTTTCATTATCCGCTCACTCACTGATAGACATGTGGCAGGTGCTTCAGTGAACACAGGAGTGCTGGTGTTTCTTCCACACACTGTTTTCATTTCTTTTGGCTCAGTAGGAGTAGCCTAATGTTTTTATTATTAAATATTATATTCACCTGGAAAAGTTCTGAAAATATATAGTATCTGTGTATATATAAAAAAAACCTTTGATGAATTTGTTATTCATTTGAATAACAGAAATATATTGGTCTTTTGCTTCTTGTGTGTAAGAGAGAGAGAGACAGAAAGAGAGAGGAAGAGAGAAAGAGAGAGAGAGAGGGTGGGAGAGGGAGAGAAAGAGGACAGAAAGTATCGTGGGGCATGAATTCAGAGCCTGGGTTCTGTCTTTTAGCTTTCTGCTCAGGTGTTGAATTCTATCACTTGAGCCATACCTCTGCTTCTGGTTTTTTGCTGATTGATTGGAAATAAAAATTGCATGGATTTGTCTGTCTTGTTTCAAAATTGCGGTCATCAGATCTCTGCCTCCTGAGTAGCTAGGATCAGAGGCATGCATCACCCGTGCTGGGGTCACATGTCTATACATTTTACATCACTTATTGGACAGGGTCCAAATACATAACTGACATTTTTACATCAGAATCAAGTCACTAGGCATTTACAGCATATTTGGGCAGGTGACCTGTGTTAGTCACTGGAAGTTGCTTGATGTACCGTTCCTCTATTGAACCATGAACAAACCTCTCAGACAACTCTTGTTTTTTCTCTAGGTGCTAATAAACCTGCAGCAAGTCCAAGTTGAGAACACAAATCTACGTGGGAATATGTTTACTGTTTCCAGACAACATAAGATTTTCTTAAGTGATGAGGAAAAAGCTTTTATGCAATACAAGAAGCTCTATGAAGAGTATGTTTGTACCCATGATCCCTACATTAGTCAATGTGTCATAGTTAATGGGGTGTTGTACTTGCTGTCCAACTGCTGGTTCCCCACTAAACTCATCCTAGTTTTAAAACCTACTAACCACAATGAAATGTTCTTTACCCAGCAATAAGTAAACATGCTTCTAATTTGGGCTTATAGTGCCAAATCTATTTTTAAAAAACAAAGACTTATCAGTTTTTTGAGAGAATAGTTGTGTTTTTATTTTGTGGGTCTAGCCAGAGAAAATATGATATCTGCCTTCATTAAAAATAGCTCAACATAGAGCCGGGTGCCAGTGGCTCACACCTGTAATCCTAGCTACTCAGGAGACAGATCTGAGGATCACGGTTCAAAGCCAGCCTGGGCAAGGAAAGTCCGTGAGACTCTTATCTCCAATAAACCACTAGAATACCCGAAGTGGCGCTGTGGCTCAAGTGGTAGAGCGCTCGCCTTGAGCTGAAGAGCTGAGGGATAGCGCTCAAGCCCAGGGTTCAAGCCCCACGACCCAAAAAAAAAAAAAAAATAGCTCAACATGTATATTTTCTTTTTTTTAGAGAAGGATTTAGTTATTGACACAGAGATTTAGAAATTTCTCTTAAGGAATCACTTACCTTTCACTACCTATCTGACTCCATTTAGTCATCCAGGTTTGTTCATTTCACTTCCCAAACATATCTATACTGCTTTCCAGCTGTATTTTTTCCAACTGCATTTTGCTCCTTCATGTCTTTGTTTTGGCTTGCCTCTCAAATTTTTTTTCCCATTTTGTCATTTTTCATCTCAACTTGTCTACTTTCTTTCCACACTACAAACACTACAACTGATTAAAGGTGAGTACCAAACTCTTTGTCCCCTGGACTGCAAACAAATCAGAGAAGTCACGCTATCTTACCCCTTTGTACACTTAGGACCTCATACATTGTCTAGAAAGTAGTGGATATTCACCAATGTTTTCTTTATGAATATCAGCATTCAATTATACGATAGTTATTCTTACACTCAAAGCTAATCTCACAGAAGTGTAATTTTGGTAGCTAGGCCTACTTACCCTTAGCTAAACTTATGTTCGTTGCTATAGTATTTAAGCTACAAAGGATTGTTACAATCCTTGTGTTGATTTTGTCCAATTGCATGGAGTACTGAGAGTGATAGTGTTAGAATTCTTCACACAAAGACCTCTCCCAGATGAATACTAAGTTGTCATTTGGGATCATAAGATGTACTGATGATAAGCTATCCTCATGGGCTTTTGTCTTAGTCAACATAAGCTACCATAACAAAATGCCATCCACTGGTTTGCTTAAACATGCAGAGGCCAGGATTCCCTCCTACCAGCTTATATATGGCTGTTTTCTAGTTAAAGAGGAAGGAAGGGATGATTTTCCTGTATCATTTCTTACAAGGACATTATTCCCATCGTGAAGACCCCACCATCCTGACCTTCTCAAAGACCCTGTGTTTATTATGGGCACAAATCTTATGATGGTCATTTCTGTCATTCCAAATCATCTAAATTTTAATTTAGCTAATTTTTTTCTCACTGTGAAGCAATGCCAGCATTCTATATTTAAATTCAAATACATAAACATGTAAATGTAGAAAGTGAAAGCTACTTGAATCTCTCCACATTTGCGGTTAAGATTTCAAAATGTAAATTCTGGAGGAGGGGAATGGTTCAGTCCATCACAGTTTGAAAGTGTGTCACTTTAATGCAGTACTCTCTGTTATGCACAGCCTCTTACCATATACTTCCCCAGCCCTTATTATTCTCTCTTTCAAGTTGAGACAAATATGTCTTGACTTTTTTTTTTGGTTAGTTGTGGGGCTTGAACTCTGGGCCTGAGCACTGTCCCTCAGCCCTTCAACTCAAAGGCTAGTGCTGTACCACTTGAGCCACAGCGTCACTTCCAGCCTTGACTTTTAAAAAGTCTCATTGGTCTATGCACAACAGTAAGTCAGGTAGTGTAGATGTTTTATGAGTGGTGGAACATAACCACAGGTAGAGTTTCTTATCCAAGGTCGCCCTGTTTTTAAGTATAGAGCCAGTACTCTTAAGTTGGTGTAACTAACTCTCCTTGCTCAGAATATCACGATGGAACTGACCTATACGCTTATCTCAGATGAGGTATATACAATTGGTCTTGCTGCTTTGTGGTTATTATTTCAGTTTATGTTCTTTCAGTGGCTTAGAAATGTCCAACATTTTTATGAAAATTATATGTTGTAGCTACTGCTAGCAAAAATGTGTTGGTGTTTTTACTAGTTTATTTGATAAATCATTTGTATTCTAAACTTTCCAAATTACTTTTGAAATTGTTCATGGTTTGCATGTTTTCTCACCCTGAGGAATTAAAAATGATTCTTTCTTGCCATCATGCATAAGTTGTTGGATTTGATCCTCAGCACTTTAGTTCAATCCTTAGGTTTTAGAAAAAAAAAATGGAAGGTCATTTCCACCTTCAACAGATAACTTTTTTTTAAATCATGACAGAAACCAGAAACAAATAGCATTTATTGCTGAGAAAGAAAACTTCTTATCACAAAGAAAAGCAGACATCAAAAACATGGAAGAAGGACTCGGTGCACTTGAAGACCTTCACCAGTACTTGTTTGTTGTCCATGTGTTTGTTTGTTTGTTTGGGTTTATTTTGGTAGAGGTTGTGGGGTTTGAACTCAGGTCTTTTAGGAAGGTCACTTGAGCCATGCCACCAGAAGTTTCTTGCTTTATTTTCCATTAGGGTCTTACATTTTTCCAGGACTGTCTTTAGCCCACAATCTTCCTACCAACATCTCCCACATAGCTGAGATTACTGTAACTTGTTATCATGCTTGGTGCCAAGATGGTGTTTGTCTTTCATGTTTTTAATTTTCATCCTTCCGTGCATTTTTAACACATGATAACTATAAGCCCATGCCAATGTCTAATGTGTTACTACAAAGGATATTAATAACCGGCCCTTTGTTTCATAGTCTATATAAGTCATTACCATTCAACCTTTCATTATAGAAATAGATAGATCCTGAATTCTCATGATACTTTGGACACAGGTACATTTCAATGATGGAGACCAGTGGCCAGAATATGCCTGAGCATTAACCCAAGGCTGACCCTCTATTTTACATTTCTGTCATTTTAAGTCCCTTTAACTTTTATTTAAAATGTTTCTAATTAATAAAGTAGCATAAATGAAAAATTAATGATGTTTCTCTTATTTTCAGAGCAACAAATGACATATATCGAGAACAAATAAAAATCCTAGGGGATAACCTGGAAAGAGAAAGTCAGAGATCGTAAGTACACATAGATAGATAGATAGATAGATAGACAGATGTGTGTGTTTATGAATAGTGTGTTATCAAGAACTCAAGGGTATGATTTTCCTGAATTAAGTTGCATCTAAGTTCTCTTAGATCTATATGTGTTTGTTAGCTTGAATTTTTGTTTTTTGACATTGAGCAGAACCACGGTTTTCCATTTCAACTAAGTGGAATGATCAGAGAGAGAAACTGAGCAATGCCTGGTGCTTGCTCAGGCTTCCATGTCCACCAGCAATGGTGGTAATGGATAGGGGAAAAGAGAAGAGTGCTTAAGACCCCAGGCTCTGCACATGGCCCCTGGTGGTTGTTCTTCCCTGCTAGCTCTGACCATGACTCACTTATTGAATCCCTTCTCTTTGCTCCCACCCCTGTAAAGTGAGGGATGGGAGTGGTTGTACCACATTATAAACCATAATAAGGTGCTGAAGATCCATGGAAAGTATTTAGATCAAGTGTATCCAGCAGCCACTGGCTAATATTTAGCTGTATTTTACTGTAATGTTTTTGTGGTTGCCACTGACATTAACCTCATGATCTACAAGGCTCCAGTTGCACAGTTTTACCATCCACCAAATAGGTAGCTTTTTTATGTGTGATAGATAAAATTGAGAAGCCCAGAATTTGAAATCTCTTCTTAGCACTTTGGGCAATTTGGAGCGTCCCCTTGCTATTTCTGCCTATGCTTCTTGCTTCTCCACATGCCCCTCAGCGTGCTCATTGCCATGTTCCTTCAATGAAAGGCCTTGAGCTGTTTAGTGTTGTCTGTCTGCTGTTGTCTTGGACATAAGGCAAACATTTCTCATTGGGGAGAAACTTTCAGAGAGAGTACTGAGGAAGCCAATGTTTCCTCTTATTATTTCAGTGATGTGGGGGGATCTGCATTGTTAATGATCCAAGTTGTTTCTGAAAAATCAAAGTAGAATGTCTTTTGTTTGAAATTCCTTCATCTTCTTGGGTAAATTTCTGTGCTTGTGGTAATTATTTTTGGTCTGATCTCTAGTGTTATAAATCAGTGGAAAATAGCGTGTTCAAGAAAAAGGCATCAACGTTGGCTGACTGGTCTCAAGGGAGAGCTAAAAGATATTGCACAGCAAATTGAGGAGGCAGAACTGAAACGAATTGACTTATTGGAAGAGGTAAGGGAACTAAAGGTGCTTAGAATTAACATAGTTCCCTACGTTGCACATCAGTCCTTTCCTTTCAAAAGTTAATTAATTCCTTATATTAAGAGGTCTTCTTTCTGCTGACTTCAAGGTTAGAGTGAATTATTTTCCTTTCTAAGCAATGTGTCCAAAACCAGGAGATTGGTGGTTCAGACCTAGAATTGCATAATCCTAGCTATTTAGGATAGGGAGTCTGGGAATCACAGTTCAAAACTGGCTAGCCTGGGCAAAAAATTCTGTAAGACTCTACAGTTAAGGCTGGGAAGATAGCTCAGTGGTAGAGCGCTTGCCTTGCATGCCTGTGGCCCTGGGTTCGATTCCTCAGCACCACATAAGCAAAATGAAAAAAGCTGAAAGTAGCGCTGTGGCTCAAGTGGTAGAGCCCTAGCCTTGAGCTAAAGAGCTGAAGGACAACGCCCAGGTCCAGAGTTCAGGCCCCACAATTGGACCCCCCCCCTAAAAAAAGGACTCTCCAGTTAAATTAACCAGTGAAAGAAAGAAGGAAGGAAGGACGGAAGGAAGGAAGGAAAGAAAGGAAAGAAAGAAAGGAAGAAAGGAAGGAAGGAAGGAAGGAAGGAAGGAAGGAAGGAAGGAAGGAAGGAAGGAAGGAAGGAAGGAAGGAAGGAAGGGAGAAAGATAGAGAGGAGAGAGAAAGAGAGAGAAAGAGAAAAAGAAAGAGAGAAAGGCAGAAAAACAGAAAGAGAAAGAAAGAAAGGAGGGAGGGAGGAAGGGAGAGAAGAAGTTAGGAAAGAAGGAAGGAAGGAAGGAGAAAGAGAGAAAGAAAGAAAGAAAGGAGAAAGAAAGAAAGAAGGGAGAGAGGGAGGAAGTTAGGAAAGAAGGAAGGAAGGAGAAAGAAAAGAAAGAAAGAAAGGAAGGAAGGAAGGGGGGAAGAAAGGAAGGACAGAAAGGAAGAAAGAAAGAAAGAAGGAAAGAAAAAGAAAAGAAAGAAAGAACAAAAAAGGCAGAAGTGGATCTCAAGCAGTAGAACACAATAGAGTAAAAATGATGAGTGAGAGTATGAGACCCTTAGCTCAAGGGCTGGTACCATCACATACACACAAAGAAAGGAAATAATCTTAAAATAAATGCACGAGAGGAAATACAATTCAGTACTCATACATTTACTCTTTGCCCACCAACCATCCCAAAGCCTCCCACATCGCATGTCATTTGTTTGTAGATAATATATGGTGAAGAACTTAATATACAGAGGGAAAAATAATCTTTTCAGAAGTTACTGACAAATCACATAAGCTGAAAAGTCATAGGCATCAATTTGCCTGAATGCTGAAAAATACAAAGCTGAACACTTACAAGAGAAATGATCCATTTCTTTTTTTCTTCTCTCTAATTAGACCACACAGAGACAAGAAGAAATCGAAGAATTTGTGGCTGAGATAGAAAGACTTTCAATAACGTTAAAAGATGAGAAGCACAAATTTGTTCGCAAACAGAAAAGGTTATTAAAAGAGTTAAACATGTATGAGGTAATTTTTGTATTGCATCTAAGTGTAATGCTGAATGACTGTGGGGGGCAAGCAAGATAAAATAATATCGCATGCTATCCTAAGTAATTCCATGTAAAATAAAGAGGAACAAGAGAAAAGAGTGAAGAAAAGTAAAAGAAAGAACGTGAAGAGAAGTATTTTCCCCCCAATGGGGAAAAAAAAAATCACATACTTCAAATTATGCAGAAGTGCTGCCAGCATCTGCCTTGGGAGCAGTGGCACTGTACAGAAAGTGTGGGAAAATCGGAGAGAGTGAGGAGGAGGCGAGGAGACTAGTAAAGTACATCTCAGAAATCCTTCTTTAAAGCAGGGTATTCTAGTGACTTGAAAACTTCCATATGCCAACCAGGCGTGAAGTAAGGTGTGAATTCTGGGGAAGGTATTGGCAATGGAAGTGCCCAGTGGCCCAAAGATCACAAGTCTGCAAAACACAGCAAACATTTGTACCTTTTCAAGATAAGGACACACCTTGAAAGGCTGGGGTGGGGTAGGGCGGGGGGGGGGGGGGGGGGGGCGGGGGGGGGCCTCCCCGCAGCGCTCCCGTCTGGGACATGGAGGGGGAGGGGAGGGCGGGGTGAAGCAATCATGAGTAGAGCAGAACCAGGAGGATGGTTATAGTGTTCTAGGAATATCTAGTCCTATGACTTTTGTTGTTGTTGTTGTCGGTTGTGGGGCTTGAACTCTGGGGCTGGGCGCTGTCCCTCAGCTCTTCAGCTCAAGGCTAGTGCTCTACCACTTGAGCCACAGCACCACTTCCGGCTTTTTCTGCTTATATGGTGCTGAGGAATGGAACCAAGGGCCTCATGCATGCAAGGCAAGCGCTCTACCACTGAGCCACCTTCCCAGCCCTCTTAATTTTTTTTTTAAAAGAGGTCCAAGAATTGTTCTATTTAAAGCTAAATGAAACAAGTTTGCATAAGTAGACAAGAACTGTTGTGTTCTACTTTGCAAACTTTTGACTCATTTATTTTTAATGTGATAGCAAATTATTCCTACCTCTCTCCATATTTTATTTATATCCAAATGTCTTAGAACTGGTATATACTGGGTTTGTTGGAACCGGGGGAAAGCGGGGGGAGGGGGGAGTGGAGAGGAGGGGAGGCATTGTCATGGGGCTTGAACTCAGGGCCTGGGTATTGTCCCTGAGCTGTTTTGCTCAAGGCTCTACCACTTTGAGCCACAGCTCCACTTCCAGTTTTTGGAAGTACAGCTTCTAGTTAATTGGAGATAAGAGTCTCACAGACTTTCTTGCCCAGGCTGGCTTCAAACTATGATCCTCAAATTTCAGCCTCCTGAGTAGCAGGATTACAGGTGTGAGCCATTAGTGTGTTGCCTGTATATTCTGTTTTTGATGCTCCCCCTTTTTAAAAAAAAATAAAATACAATCAACAAAGGAAATTTTTTTCAAGTATATTTTGGTGATATACATGGTAACAACAGAAATATACTAACTAGTACAGATACAGAACACATGGGAAAGGCAGTTGAATCCAATGTCTTTATAGATTGTCAGAGATAATAACTATTTAGTAAATGCCTAGATACCCTCTTTTTCACTTCAGGATAGAAGGCAGGACTCTCCCTTTGGAAGAATTTACTTTTTTCCCCCCTGAATCCTGTAAAATTTCCAAAATTACACTTCTCAATTAGCCTTATTTTCTTTCAAGGATTTAATTGTTCAGGAAGAACTGGTTTACAAACAAAAAGAAGAGGAACTAATTGTTAGGCTCCCACAACTTCATACAGCAGAAGAAGAGTATGGAAAAACATCTCAAAAGTTAAAAGATGCCTACGCCATTCTTCAATGTATGTATGAAACATTACTCTCCACCCTAGATTGTCTTCCACTAGAAAGGCCAGTGGTGAAATTCATTCAACTTTTCCCAATACCTTTAACCTCTATTTTCCAAGTTTTTCCCTATCTACTAATCTTTTCTTTTCCATACTACAATTTCCTTTTCTCGTTTAAACATTCTTTAAAAATAAGAACTACTAGTTCACTATATTATGTTGTCTATACTTACTATAGGTAGCTCCTGTGTCTGCCACCATGTGGAGACTATTTTTGTTATTATTGCAAGTTTGAAATTTTATCTCTTTTCTGACTACAACTTTAATAATTTATCAAGTAGGTAAGTCTCAGATATTTTTCACTAGCCAGTTCCTATGACAGAGATTAGTAAGTCTTATCTCAGATTTAGGATCTTGGGTGATTCAAAATACATCTGCATGTATACATCTTTTGTATTTCATTGCATAGCATAACTGTGTATGGACTTAACACAAAATGGTTACTTTCTTAAAAAAAAATAGATATGGTTATCTAACCCAACATCCAAGGTCCAGAACCACCATACAGATTTGAGATCTGAGGAGAAAGAACCATATCCAGGAAGTCTATGCAGGTCTCAGAGCAGGAACACTTTTAGAACTTACTGTCTTCCAGAATGATGATGGAAGAAATCAAAAGCATGTTCACACATACCTGGGGTTTTTCCTGGAACAATAGGGTGGGGGGGGTCAATCCTTCAAGTAGGGGTAGTGGCTGGGTTACCTTCACTGTCCTGGGTTACCTCCTACCCTCCCTCTGCCATTGAAGATAGCAGCAGCTACCTTGGTTTCCTGATTCAAAATTGAGTTCCCTGCTAGGTCCTGAGCCTACTTCTGTATCTCATGGAGGCCCAGAGCCTAGAAGCCCATAAACATCTGCCATCCCACAGTCTCTTTCTACACTCCCCCAACCTTCCACCACCAAAAGCACTAGAAATGGGAACAAAGACCACGACCACCTACTGGGTAGCAATAACCAGCTAGCAAGGACAAACATGAATCTAGGAATTAATATAAGCTGTGTCACAAAGTTTACCTGAAAAAATAAAAAACAATAATCACCTAAAATATAATCACAAATATAAATATAATCACAAATGAATTGTGATTATTGCCAAGAATCTTGGATTATTTTTAAGAATATATGGATGTTACAATAATAAGTGTTGGGGTTTTCAATCTGATTCCCATGTATCAGGTGATTTGATACTTCTCAGTTTTCATTTAGCAAACTTGGGTAGACTTTCTTGGTCTGTTAGTTTTAGTCAGACTCACAATGCATACCTAGTTTACTGCCTTTCCCCTTCTCCCTTTGGTCTAGATGGAGTATGTAGATAGAATCATTGTGAGTATAAAAGTAAGCAGTACGTTGCAGGTACTGAGTCTCCTGTAATGAATAAAAAAGACACGAAAGGTCATGCTTCACCAGGGAGGGGTAGTGCTCTAGCCAGTTGCTAGTCTTACAGACAATAGATTATGAGGCTTGGCTCAGTTTACATGGAGCACAATGTTTAGGCTTTTAGTGAAATGTAATAAAATACACCGATATTTCTTTTCTCCCTGATGAAGCATCACAAAATGTGTGTAAAATAATTTTATCTCACCAAGCATGGGTGCCTCATGCTTGTAGTCCTAATTACATGGAAGGATAAGATCTGAGAATCATGGTTTGAAGACAGCCCAGCCAGTAAAGTCTAAGACTCTTATCTCCAATTATCTAGCAGAAAGCAGAAAGTGGAGCTGTGGCTCAAGTGGTAGAGTATGAGCCTTGAGCAAGAAAGCTAAGGAACAGTACTCAGGCCCTGAATCCAATCCCCCAATAGTAGCATCAGTTAAAAAGAAAAGAAGAAGATCTAGCTACCCAATTGCCAAACAGTGGCATGGCTGGCCTAGATAAGTCATGGCACGAAAGATTGGCTGGATGACTTTAGAAACAGTGGTCAGACCTCCTGTGAAATTCCTCTCTTGGTGAAGTAGCTGAGTGACTCCTCCTCACTGCTGGCAAAGCAATTGGTTCCGAAGTGCAGGGCACCTAATACCACTGGAGGGCAGGAATATATGAAGCACCAGAGGCCATTTCCACTGCCCTACTTCATCAAACCTACAGCCTGTCATGACAATTGCATGGTAAGAGGTAGAAGATTTTTTTTCTTTTTGTCGGTCGTGGGGCTTGAACAGAAGATTTTATTAAAAGAAAAAAATAACAGCAGAAGATGAAACTGAGAATGTCTCCACAGGTAGCAGGTAAGAATTGTTTCTATCTTTGCCAAGCGTGGAGAAAAAGATGACACCATAACAACTTCTTAATTTTAAATAGTCTTTGAAAGCAGAAAGTCCCCAAAGTGGAGACTGTTGGATTCTTCCTCCAAGGACATGGAACAGTTCAGAGAAGAACTCCACATCAGATACTGACACTCGAGGATTCCATTCTCAAAAACCGCCAATCACTTCCTGGTCACTACACAGGAAAGCACACCTAGCCATCAAAACTTGTAGGTTTGGCAACATGGATGTGTTGGACAGCTTTTCATCACTATAATAAAATCCCAGAGATGATTAATTTGATTTTTAAAAAAAGAAAGGTTTCGCTTGGCTTCCAGTTTTGAAGGTTCCAGTCTACTAAGCAAATCATTGGCTTTACACCTGTTTGGTGGGCTTGCATATTGATGGCACTGAATGTGCCCTGGAGCAAACTGCTTACCTCAGGACCAGGAAGCAAAGAGGCCAGGGTCCCTTAAGGGTCTAGGGCAGCCCCTCCATGAAGCAGGGATACGCCAGGAGGCCCTACCTACTAAACATTCTGCTTTCTCCCCATAACAGCACTCTGGGGACTAAGATGATAACATATGAACTCTGGGGATACATTTACCCAAATCATCACAGAGAGAAGCCATATTCAAAAGGATTTCATAATCCTGTCATTGACTTTGGTATAAATTAATCACGTGTACATAGGATACTGAGAAACTTTTTTTAAGTGACACATATAGTGTTTATTTAGAGGCTTCAATGAAAATGAAATTCAAACAGCTTAATACCCATATATGAGTAATCTGGCAAATACAGGTATCAAACGCATTTTAATTGTTTTATAAAACAATACAAATCTTCCAAATCAGTTCTCATTACAAGTTCTTAAGCCATTTTTTTCAGGTCAACACAATTACACTTTTAAGATTACAGAGTTTAATGTTTATAGGGTTAAATTCCTAAAGCTAGCAAGGTAACAAACGGGTTACTGGGACTCAGACAACCACATGGTAGAGCATGTTTACTGGGTGATCCCAATTACACCACAAGCCAGACGACTTCCAGCATTTCCTGTCTTTTTACTCTCATCATTTCCACCTCTGCCCAAGTCATCTGCTTATTCATGGACCACCATAGTGCGGCCAATGATGGAATACTCTCCTGAGAGTGAGGTCAATGAGTCTTCGATGGACACTTTGGTTGTACTGTCTTTGTCAGCAGTCACATTGCCCAGATCTCCAACATGTCTTTCTTGATCTTCTGGCCCACTGTGATTTTTGGATAGAGGATTAAAGTGAGGACCTGCACTGGTACAACCTTGTGTATTATCTCCAAACTGATAGACATGGAATCCATGCTGGCCTTCAATCAATCCTGTAATGGTCCCCTGTACCACAACTGGCCCATTTGCCTGCTGCTCGAAGTGGATGATGCCCTGCACGAGACTTTCGCCCTTCAGCACTCGGCCTTCATCGCCATGATTGGCCCGCGACGCTTAGAGAGAGAACCGCTATCATGCTGTGTCATTTGGCTCATCTGTGACTAACCCCTCGCAACATCGTATGGGCTAAGCGCTTTAAGATTTGTTTAAGCAAAGATTGCTTTTATAGGAGAGTGAGAAGGAGGAAATGTAGCATTTGGGGAATGGGTATGGGGCGTGGATGGGAGTATGCAAGCTTAAGTCCTCCTTTATTATATTAAGAATTAAATGATAGCCAGGTGCCGGTGGCTTACACCTGTAGTCCTTGCTACTCAGGAGGCTGAGAACTGAGGATTGCAGTTCAAAGCCAGCCCAGGCAGGAAAAGTCCATGAGACTCTTATCTCCAATAAGCCACCAAAAAACCAGAAGTGGCACTGTGGCTCAAGTGGTAGAGTGCTAGCCTTGAGCTGAAGAGTTTTAAAGAACAGCGCCCAGGCCCAGAGTTCAAGTCCCATGACCGACCCCCCCAAGAAAGGAATTAAATGAAAAATTCTTAAACTTATTAAGAAATAACCATAAAAGCATATATTTTAAGAAAATTGAGCTAAGTAGAAGCTAAGTAGAAGAAGAAACATAGTTGAGTCCAAGCGGACATAATAGTAGAAGTAGCACTGGGGAGATTTGATTTTTTTTTAAATATAGTAATACTCTTTTGGATTTTTATAATAGTAACAACAATAGTACTAGAAATGATAGTTTGTAACCGTATTTGGCATTTAAAACTAAGTATATGTCTTTGTTTATTAACCTAAGCAACTTTGTGGACAGTTCTTTTTCTATTTCTAATAGCACAACAGCAGGAGGCTGCTTTATTGAAGAACAACATTTATCAGTTTACAAAGGACATTGCAAGATACTTTAAAAACATGGTAAAGGATGATTAGTGCATTCTTCCTCCTCCTTCTGCTCCTCCCCTTGTTAAGGACTGGGGATCCAACCCAAAGTGTTGCCCATAGTAGACAAGTATTCTACTACTGAATGGAATTCCTAACCCGTGGTTTTTTGAGAAAAATTTCTGTTACATGTAGCTCAGCCTGGCCTTGAAGTCACAATCCTCCTGCCTCTGTTTCAACAACTGCTGGGATTACATGTGTGTACTACCACACCTGGTGTCTTGTTCTTTTCTTCTTTCTTCATTGCAAAATTGGTGTTTACAGATAGTACTATTTACCTGGCACCATTGAAGTTTTCACAAAATTCACAATTATTATTAAAATCATTCTCTGTTAAAGCTTTAAATTTTAATCACATGTATATGCACATGTGTAGCTGTGTACATAGGTGTGTACATATATATTATAAATCAATTTATTATCATGTATTATTATATACATGTATATCTTATATATAAATATATGAGTATTAGAGAGTGTGTCAGTTTTTCCATTGCTGGCCAAGTACTCAAGAAAATCAACTTAAGGAAAGAAAGATTATTTTGGATCATGGTTTCAGAAGTTTCCGGTGGTTGGCCAGGCTCCTTTGTTTATAGGCCTTTGGAAAAGCAGAACCATTCTAAAGAAGGCACAGTGAGGAAAGCTGCTCACCTTATAGCAGCCTGGAAGCAAAGAATAGTTAACAGGAAAAGGCCAGAGCCAAGATGTACTCTTCAAACGCAAACCCACAGAAACTGACTTCTTCCCACTATCCATAGTTTTATACTTTCAATAATCTATTCAAATTTTGAATCTATCTATGCATTAAACCAAAGATTAGGTCAGAGCCCTCATGATCTAATCATCTTTGGAACTCACCTCACAGACACAATCATTATTGGATGATACTCATCTCCTAGGTTGCCTCTTATTTCAATTAAGTTGGGAATTAGGATGGATCTTCAAAGAAAAAGGGAGGGAGCAAGGGAGGGAGAGAGATCTAGAACAAACTCACACGTAAATACAATAGTGGGGAAACAATTCAAGAGGCCTTAGTTGTCATTTTTTAAGAGATTTTAATTTCTTTATAAGGTAGTGATTAGATTGGGCTTGCTACTTCTTTCTTTCCTCCCTTCCTTTCTCCCTCCCTCCCTTCCTCCCTCCCTCCCTCCCTTCCTTCCTTCCTTCCTTCCTTCCTTCCTTCCTTCCTTCCTTCCTTCCCTTCTCCTGCCTTCTTTCTCTCTTCCTTCTTTTCTTTCTTGTGCTGATACTGGGGCTTGAAGTCAGCATCTCAAGCTCTCCCTTAGCTTTTCCACTCAAGGCCAGAGCTATACCTTCACTTCAGGATGAGTGGACAGAGATTGTGATAGGGGTAGCTGCAATAGGAGCAGTTAAAGCAGTATTTATAATCTTTTCAAATATATAATCGGCCAGGCGCCGGTGGCAGATGCCTGTAATCCTAGCTACTCAGGAGGCTGAGATCTGAGGATTGCAGTTCAAAGCCAGCCCAGGCAGAAAGTTTGTGAGACTCTTATCTCCAATAAACCACCAGAAAACTGGAAGTGGTGCTGTGGCTCACATGGTAGAGTGCTAACCTTGAGCTGAAGAGCTGAGGGACAGCACCCAGGCCCAGAGTTCAAGCCCCATGACTGACAAAATAAAAATAAAAATAAAATATCTAATCAATAGTGATAAGCTATGTATGTGAAGTTAGTTATTAAAAATGGAAATATATACTATTTGAAATACCTGATACCAACAACTTTGGCTTTTTTGTTTTACTTTTTTTGTGTGTGTCACAGTGCTGTGGTTTTGAACTCAGGACCTTCCTTGGCTTGCAAGCACTCTGCCACTCGCATTATATCTCCAGCCCTTGTGGGGATAATTTTTCAGATTGTATTATATACTTTTATCCAGTGTCAGACATGGATCTTTCTATATCCACCTCCTACCTATTTGGATTGTTGTTGTGCACCATCATAAAATCTCACTAGCTTTTCCTTGGGCTGGTTTTGAACCTAGATTCTCCCATATCTGTCTCCCATGAAGCTGAGATGTGTGACATCCCCTGACCCTTAAAAATAACTATATAGTCATATAGATATGCATATATTCATATATGTACATATACTCATATGTATATTCCTCTGTACTTAACAAAATGCTGAGGATCATACAAAGTTGGTTCCAGAGTCTTTGGAAGTAACAATCTCTCTCTGTCTCTGCTCTTTCTGTCTCTGTCTCTCTCTGTCTCTCTCTGTCTCTCTGTCTCTGTCTCTGTCTCTGTCTCTCTCTCTGTCTCTCTCTGTCTCTCTGTCTCTATCTCTGTCTCTTTCTTTCTCTGTCTCTCTCTGTCTCTGTCTCTCTCTCTGTCTCTCTCTCTCTCTCTCTCAGTTAATCTTGTTAACTTGATTGGAAAGAGAGATGCCTGGGAGATTAGTAAAGCACGGCTCTGGATATGTCTGTGAGGACAGTTCCAAAGAACATTTGACCATGAAGGTTCTAGCCTAGTCAATGGTTTAATCCATTGATGAATTTAAAAGATGGTAATTATACAATGAATCAGGAGGTGTGGTTTAAAAGTGTCATAACCAAGAATTGAATGGAGAATTCAACAGAGAAAAAAGTAGAGAAGTTTTGTTTTTTTTGTTTGTTTGTTTTGGGTCCGGTCGTGGGGCCTGAACTCTGGGCCTTCAGCTCTTCAGCTCAAGGCTAGCACTCTACCACTTGAGCCACAGTGCTACTTCTGGCTTTTTTCTTTTTGCTTATGTGGTGCTGAGGAATCGAACCCAGGACTTCATGCATGCAAAGCAAGTGCTCTACCACTGAGCCACCTTCCCAGCCCCTAGGGAAGTTCTTAAACTCCATAAAGTGATTTTTTTTTCTTCAAGAAATCTTAAATCCTCCTTAAAAGTCTCAGTAAATCCCTTCTCATCCCCAAGTTTTGCCAACCAGTTGTCATTATATTCAAGTATATTCCATATAGTGAGTATCTCAATATCTATTTTACTTAACTTTGGGAAGTCCATGAATCATTTGAATAAGTCAGCTTTAAGGTTTGTGAGTTTTTGTAAGAGAGGGAGACATGGGGTAAGCTGTGTGGCTCAGGACTTAATGAAGACTCCTGCTCTGCCTATCATCTGTGAGATAATTGTGCTTTTTATGTTTGAGTAGGAGAAAGTGAAAACAGAATTAAAAGCCACACGAGAAGAAGAAAGCAGGAAAATCAAAAGTCATTATGAATGTCTAAGGAAGTTAGAAATTGAAATCCAGACAAATGATGATAAAGTAAACCTTTTGACTACTGAAAACGAAAAAATTAAAAAAGTAAGTTTATCAAAATCTCATTTTCTATAATGGTTTTGATTGGTTGCTTAGATCAGCAACACTAGAAGAGAAAAAAATATCTCTTCAGGTAAACTTTTTTTTCAGTACTGGGACTTGAATTCAAGCTTCCCTCTCACTGAGCTTGCTTGCTTAATTTACTTGCTCAGCTGGTGCTCTACCACTTGAGCCACATCTCCAGCTTTGCTTTTAGCTGGTTACTGTTTTTGGAGCTGGAGTCTCTCATGCTTTTCTGTCAAGTGGCACAGTGCTGCTGTATTGACTAACTTTGCCTGCTTTGGAACAATGTAGGCATACAAACTATAGAATACAGTGTGTAATCCTTTGTGCAATCTTGTGTTGATGAGCTTATTCTTGAGTGTAGTCAGTCCATTATTCTTAGTTCTGTAAGTATTTCACTGTATGACTCTACTTCACTTTGTTTAAACCCACCTCTCCTGTCCTTAGATATTTGGAGAGTTTCTAACTTTTGGCAGTATCGCCATGCTTAGCATAAAATTTTGATGAGCATACATAAACACACAAACACATTTCTATTAGTTATCTCAAGTGGAATTGCTAGGTTATAGGGTTCATCTTAACATATTTGCAGTCTTCTGAAGGCGTCACACCAATTGCCCTTCCTCTCCTCAGTACATAAGGTCACTGGGAACTCCATCTTCTTACCAACATGCCGCTTCAATTCAGCCATTCTGGTGTGCACACAGTGGTACCCCACTAATTTGCCTTTCCCCAATAATTGATGAATATTTATATATTGCTGGTCACTTGAACCATCTCCTTGAAGAAGTACCTGTTCTAAGTTTTCTACCTATTTAAAAAAAAATTAAAGCTGTCTGTATCATACTGATCATTTTACAGCAAAAAAAAATTGGTTCATCAAGCCCCTAAAATTAGTCTCAACGTACAGATTTTAAGTTTTTGGGTTTAGATCTCAAAAGATTAAGGTTTGCATATTATATAAGATCCATCATTTTAATAATTTATGTTCAATAATTAGATATGCCACTGATTTTAATGCTCAGAGCTAGTGTACATATAAATTGCAACGAATATATAATATGTCTCCCACCCCAAAGGAGGAGTCAACAAGGCTTGATAAGAAATGTACTCATGGGGGCTGGGAAGGTGGCTCAGTGGTAGAGCGCTTGCCTTGCATGCATGAGGCCCTGGGTTCGATTCCTCGGCACCACATAAGCAAAAAGAAAAAAGCCGGAAGTGGCACTGTGGCTCAAGCAGTAGAGCACTAGCCTTGAGCTGAAGAGTTGAGGGACAGGCCCAGAGTTCAGGCCCCACGACCAGACCCAAAAAAAGAAAACAAGAAAAAGAAAAATGTACTCATTACCTTGCCCATGTAATTATAGCCCCTCTGTACGGTATTTTCACAATAAAAAAAGAATAATCTGTATTATATGTCTTTAAAATGCATAATTTGTACATTTCATGTTGTGTGACAAAAAAACCAGTAATAACAAAAGTTTGTATAATATATCCCAGCTTGAAAGGCCTGAATTAGATTCTACCACCCGCTGCTAACACTCACTTTGGGCACATACTTAATGTCTCCAATTTTTGTCTTCTTGAAATAGTAGTAATTCCTTATAGGAAAAAATGTAACTTCTTTGTAAACTGAAAGTTTAAAGTAAATGAACTTTTTTTAATAAAATAACTTTTCAGTTAAGTAAAATGATCTGAAGGTCAGAATCTGTATCAGTGTACTCCCAAGAGTAACAAAGCTTAGTTAGCATGTATTAAGTCTGTTGGATATTCACAATACTCTGATAAACTAGGGAATGTTACATTCCTTTTACAGAAGAAGAAACTAAGACTTTATATGATTTTAAAATGTTTTGATGTTAGATAAAACAGTAAGCACTGCAGCAATAAGTCTAAAAAGAATTGGCATAGTCACTGGCTAATTCTCTTCACTTATATGGGTGATATTTTTCCCTCCTGTAAAATGTCAATAGCTATCCTACCAATCTCTTGGGGGGTTTTGATAGTATTAAAATAGCAAAATAGGCAAAGCACAGATGGCACGTGCATATAATTCTAGCTACTCAGGAGGTTGAGATCCAAGGATAGCAATTCAAAGCCAGAGCAAGTAGGAAAGTCTATAAGACTCTTATTTCCAATTAATCAGCAAAAAGCTAAATTAGAGGCAAGGCTTCAGTGGAAGAGTGCTAGCCTTGAGCAAAAAAAGCTAAGGAAGAGTGTGAAGCCCTGAGTTCAAGTCCCAGTACTGGCACAAAAATATATATACACAAACATTCATATATACATACATACATGCATACATACATGGCTTAATAAGTCCTAATATTCTTTGAAAGAGCAATGGTGCTCCAAACAGCCTAACTCTCAGAGCCTCACACGTGAAACACATCTTCTTTTTCTAGCCCTTGGAACAAACTTAGAAGGAATTTTATCCGCTTGTGAAAGTATTCCAATAGACTCTCTTCTGATAATTATTATTTATTAAAATAATTCAAATTTCCATTTGTACATTTTGGCGCAGGAATTTTTTTTTTTTTTTTTGGTCAGTCGTGGGGCTTGAACTCTGGGCTTGGGCGCTATCCCTCAGCTCTTCAGCTCAAGGCAAGTGCTCTATTGCTTGAGCCACAGCACCACTCCCGGTTTTCTAGTGGTTTCTTGGAGATACGAGTCTCATGGACTTTCCTGCCTGGGTTGGCTTTGATCTGTGATCCTCAGATCTCAGCCTCCTGAGTAGCTAGGATTACAGGCGTGAGCCACCGGTGCCCGGCAATATTTTTGTTTGGGACTTCATGCTTTCAGACAGCACACCTCTTCAAATTCTTACGGTATCAGTTTACATTCAGAATATCCTCTGTCTTTCTCCTTCCATAGAAGCTTGATAAGGATATTGGCCATTTGCCCCTTCATCTAGAGCACTTGGTAGCACCAGGAAAGTAAGTCTAGGCTCGGGGTTCATTAAATGACTACATGCCTATTTAAAACACACAGTAACCAGACTCCTAAAAGCAACAAAAAACCTCTCTTTTACAGCATATCGCCTACTTGTGGAATGAAGCAGATAACTACAAGAAAGAAAGAGAATTCCTTGGGCAAAGTTCCAATGACCTGTCTTGGCAGCTGTTAGCTCAGCAAGGTGAATAATGTCTTATGGACCCATTAGATCGGCTTTATCAATTTGCATAGAGTAAAATGCCCTGGTTTGAAGGTCAATGAATATTATCAACTGTTCAACCACTACCACCATAGCAAGACATAGCACATTTTTATCATTACAAATGTTCCCTTATGTCTCCTTAGGGTTGATCTCTCAATTCTCCTCCACTTTCTAGAATCCACTTTTGTGCTTTCAACACTAGAAATTAAGTGAAAGGAAAAAAAAAAGTGTGCCCTTTTGTGCTTGGCTTTTTGACTCAGCAAAATGTTTAAGATTTTAGCCAGACATGGTGGGTCATGCCAAGATCAGGACTGAAGCTCAAGATCAGCCTGGGCAAAAAATTCACACAAGAACTTTTCTCAGCAAATAGCTGGTTTGGGTAATGCCCTCGTGTCCCAACTATGACAGGAAGCAGAAAACTGGAGAATCACAGTCCAGTCACACCTAAGCAAAAAATAAGACCCTATCTCAAAAGCAATCAGTGCAAACCTGGCGCTGGTGGCTCACGCCTGTAACCCTAGCTACTCAAGAGGCTAAGATCTGAGGATCTCGGTTCAAAGCCAGGCCAGGCAGGAAAGTCTGTGAAACTCTTATTTACAAAGTGGCGCTGTGGCTCAAGTGGTAGAGCACTAGCCTTGAGATGAAGAGCTGAGGGATAGTGCCCAGTCCCAGAGTTCAAGCCCCAGGACCGACAGAAACAAAAACAAAAAAACCAACCAGTGCAAAAAAGATCATGCTAGGACAATGAGGAGGCGAATATATATACATATATATATATATGTCATATATATGTTCTTTAATATATATTGCATATATATACACATATGTATGAAGAGAAACCCATTAAATTGTATAAGTACTGGTAAGTATTTCTATAAGAAAACTAAAGCTAGTTTTACAAAAATGTTCAAATTGTTTCACTAACTATTATTTTTTTAAATCTTTTAGCAAGATACACAGATTTGTGGGCAGAATTTCAGGCCACAGTTAAGGTGAGTGGGGGGGGGGAGTGTACATATTTGGACAAGAATCCAGTACTAGCCAGGCACCGGTGGCTCATGCCTGTAATCCTACCTACTCAGGAGGCTGAGGTCTGAGGATCATGGCTCAAAGGCAGTCTGGGCAGGAAAAGTCCGTGAGACTCTTATCTCCAATAAAGCACCAGAAAACCAGAAGTGGTGCTGTGGCTCAAGTGGTAGAGTGCTCGCCTTGAGTTGAGGGACAGTGGCCAGGCCCACATTTCAAACCCCAAGACTGACCAAAACTGAAAAAGAATCCAGGACTGCAGGAGGTTGACAGTACCTTTATGACTATCATAGTTCAAAATTTTCATTGTGCCAATGAAATCTTAATTTTTTAGGAAACTGTCTTATACTTCTAATTTGGGAGTTTCTCTGCCTTTGTGTATGTGTGTGCATGTGGGGGGGGGGTTCGCCTGCCAGTCTCCCATCCCCCTCTCATCTTTTTTCTCTCTCTCCTTGCAAGCTTAAACACATTATTGTTTTTGGACAAAGTAGTCAGTCCTAAATGCAGTCTATCATCATGTTTCACCAGCCAGTACCAGGCTCTTCACTACAGTTAGGTAGCCTAGGATTTCAAGCCAGGCTCTGCCTATGTACTAAGTTTTAAGTACTAGTGTTCATACAATCCTTTTGTAGCCCTTAAGACATCTTCAGAATTCCTTCTGAAAATGAAGCTGTGGCAGCCGAGTCTAAGTAACTTTTCCAAGACCCAATCAATAAACTTAAGAACGTAAAAGGCAGATCTCATTTGGTTCTAAGGTTGCTTATCTTAAACTTTAGCTCCTTTGCAGTTCTGTTCTGTTTTGAGGGTGATCCGGCTTTTTCTACCACCTCACCCCCAACTGTATACAGTTAAAAAGTCAAAGTCAGAGCTGGGTGCTGTGGCTCATACCTATAATCCTTAGGTGACTGAGAACTGAAGATGTTGGTTCAAGGCCAACCCAAGCATGAGAATCCATGAGACTCCAATTAGCTGGAACTGGAACTGTGGTTCCAGTGGTAGAGTGCTAGCATTGAGCTAAATAAATAAATAGATAGATAAATAAATAAAAGCTGGGCACTAGTGGCTCACGCCTGAAATCCTAGCTACTCAGGAGGCTGAGATCTGAGGATCAGAGTTTGAAGTCAGCCCAGGCAGAAAAGTCCCCATGAGACTCATCTCCAATTAACCACTCAAAACTAGAAGTGAGCCTGTGGCTCAAGTGGTAGAGTGCTAGCCTTGAGCACAAAGAGGCTCAGGGACAGTGCCAAGACCCTGTTTTCTAGCACACACACATAGATACACATAAAAAAGGCAATGTCAGTGGGAATTCTACTCAATCTTGACCTTTAATAATCCATTTTGGGGGGGGGGGCACTTTTACAGAACTTTGCAAACTGGCTGTATACACATACTTATTTCACATTACTTTTGTTTTCAGAATGCATATTTTGTTGCGACTGATACACCTCCACCTCCAATGGCTTTTTTTTTCTTTTTTTAATGATTTTTATTTGTAAAAATACTGTACAGAGGGGTTACAGTTACATGAGTAAGATAATGAATACATTTCCTATGGAGCATCGTTACCTCTTTTGTTTTCCCCTTAGCATCCATCCCTTCCCTCCCCACCTCCCTAACTCCTCCCTCCCCCCATTCAAGTTGTAAAGTTTGTTTTCAACATAGTGTCTTGTACATCTCATTGTTACAATGGGTCATCCTGTATCCTTATTTCGGGGTTTTGCTATTTCCCTTCCCCTCCCCAAATTAGAAAAAGGTATATACAAGATGCAGGACACCAGAATCAAAAACAGTGAAAACAGGGGTTGTACTGTGGGGGAAGAACATACAAAAGAAACAACAAAAAAAATCACATAGTACATTATAAATATGTTAAAAACAATAGCAAGAAAGAAAAAACCACTTGTGTCCCTACCTTGAGGTTTGTTTTGCTTAACTTATATGATCATATGTACATAGCTTTTGACCTTTTCAGCTTGTCCCAATCATATACTATTTACCACAAATAAGGGAAACCATGGGACCTATGTTTCTTTGGGCCTGGCTTACCTCACTAATATAATTTTTCCAAATGCCTTTTCTTTAAGGACTCGGGGCGTAATGGTGAAGAGATCTTGCAAGAACTAACAACTCTAATAAAGAAACTGAAGGAGAGGGATGAAAGCATCGAAAACATGAGTAGGTGGCTGGAAGGGAATATTAAAAAGCTACGTTCCGTCATGAAGGAGGAATTACCAGAGGACCGTCGTAAGCAATACTTTCATGTGTTTGATAAGATAGTGTTGTTATCTTACTGTAGTTGGTGACATCAAAAGAAAAAAATTATCTCTAATATGTCACACTCAAATAGACATTGGCACTCATTTATGGGTTGAATACTATAGAATTATTTGCCAATTCTTCCTTCTACCTGAATTTATTTATTCTGTTTGTACTTGTTTGAACTGTAATCCTCCAGTTCTATCTTATACAAGGATTAACCACTAAGCCCAACCCTGTAATATTTTTAAAGCCTTAAAAATTCAATTTGCAGAGTTATGTTTTTGTTTGATTGAAAACTACTTGATAGGGGCTGGGAAGGTGGATCAGTGGTAGAGCGCTTGCCTTGCATGCCTGAGGCCCTGGGTTCGATTCCTCAGCACCACATAAGCAAAAAGAAAAAAGCTGGAAGTGGTGCTGTGGCTCAAGTGGTAGAGCACTTGCCTTGAGCTGAAGAGCTGAGGGACAGTGCCCAAGCCCAGAGTTCAGGCCCCACGACTGGACCCCCCCCCCAAAAAAAAGAAAACTACTTGATATACCTACAAACATTTGGAGCTTTTTTTTTTTTGGTGCCAATACTGGGGCTTGAACTCAGAGCCGGGGCTCTGTCCCTTAGCTTTGCCCCTCATGACTAGTACTATACCATTTGAACCACTGCTCCACTTTTCTGTTTCTTTGCTGGTTAATTGACTTTCCTGCCCTGGTTGGCTTCAAACCAAGATCCTGAGATCTCATCTTCCTGAGTAGCTAGGATTACAGTCATGAACCACTGGTGCCTGGCTATATTTTGTGCATTTAATTCTGGAAAACTACTTATACTTTTATAATTTCAGCAAGGAAAAATCACTTTTTAACAGCAATTATCTCTTGGAAAAACTAAATGAAGAATCTAGGCCACAGACTCTTAATTATGAGAGCCACAGGGAGGTTTGAATAAAATTCCTAGGCTCAGACTGTATTTTAAATCAATTCAACATGAATGTCAGGGGATCGGCCCAGGCATGTTTTGTGTTTCATTTAAACCTTGCAAATAGCTCAGTGTGCAACATTACAAACCAATGGTTTTAGATAGTATATAGCAATGTACTTGTTAAATTTATCAACAGAAAAAATTTTGACTTTTAAATTATTTCAGGCTGATTAACAAAATAATTACCATTTGCAGTGAAAAGTCTAAGGTGCTACAAAGGCTTAAGTCAAAAAAACCAACTTTCAGGTTCTACATTAAAATCCTTGATCCAAGGGGGGACCAAGATGGCGACGGGGCAGTAGGGAAACGCCACAGCTCTCTCCAACCAAAAAGAGAGTTCGAGTTCCAACGTTTAATCTCCCCAAGAGACCGACAACAACAAAAAGACGAACACTCAGAGAAAAACCAGAGGTGGAAAATAACAAAAAAAGAAAGAGAGGAAAAGAAGAATTTCAGAACAGAGAAGAGCGAAGACCCCTCCCCCAACCTTTACTGGCCGCGCGGCAGCACGCCAAGCCGCCGGCCAGCCGGCCCGGCAGGGGCTGCCGGAGCCACAGAGACACAGGGGGCTGCTTGCAGATCACCAGGTACCGGATTGCAGAACAGCGGATCGCCAGGAACAGAGAAACCTACCAGCCGGGAGTCTCCATGAGGACCCCACCCCCACCCATCACTCTCCACCGGAGCGGAGAGGCTCCATCCCACCAAAGCCGCCCAGCACCAGCAGCGTGACAAAGGGACCTGTCCGCAGACCACCCGCCCAATCGCGATCGCAACTACCCGGCGGGGGGCCGCCCAACCCAGCCCGCAACCACCCCAACTGAACTCGGATTGCAACAACAACTGACGGACTGCAACAACAACTGACGACCTACAGGGTGAGTACCCATCAGGGGACAGGGAATCCATCAAGGGAGACCAGAGCTGGAGGGAATCCCCAGACCCTGACCTAGACTCCCTACCCCAACACCCGGACCACAGGACCCACTAAAACTGGGAACTGTTCGAGAGCTCCACCAGCCGGTGGAGCACACTCTGCTGGCCAGGCCAGAGCAAGAGCGCCCCTGGGTCAAGAATACCAACAGTAGAAGAAATTTGAACTGTGTCCTCCAGGCTGCATAACCTAGGAGGTATACACATTAGCACAGGCCTAACGAGCGCGCTCCAGGCTGGGGCCGGAACCAGGCCAGGGGACCGGCGCCTGAACAAAGCAAAAAGGGTCAGAAGTGGGGCTGTGGCTCAAATGGTAGGGTGCCAGCCCTGAGCTGAAGAGCTGAGGGACAGCACCCAAACCTAGAGTTCAAGCCCACAACCAGCCCAAAACAAACAAACAAAAACACATCAGGAGCCCATAGCAGACTCCAGTATTTGGGAGAGTGCATCCAGAGCATCTGATCTTCCCAAGAGCACCCGCAGGAGCAAACACAAGCAGTCTAGGCTGCTCAACCCTTCCAAAGGCGGGAATTGCTACAGCAGAGAGCTGAGAATCCTAAGTAAGTCAGAATAGCAGCTGGAAATAGGCTCCCAACAGAATCCAGATCAGGCACAGACTCTCTCTACCAATACAGAATCAGCAACCAAGCAAAGACAGACACACCAAAACAAGGTTGAAGAGCAGTCTCCTGAACCCCCATGCGAAAATCACAGAGAAAAATCACAAGGTTTACCACTATCCAGGACAGCAAGCTCACCTCAAAAGCCAGCAGCCACGCAGGGGAGAGCCCCAGTGGGAGCAAAGCAGGAATGGAAGACAAAAACTACATCCAAGGGTTGCTGGAGGCAATGACTCAAGAAATAAAGCAAGAAATGGATCAGAAATTGAAAGAGCACAAGGATGAACTATCAAAAGATATACAGGATATCAAACAAAAGTTGGATGCAAAAATAGAAGCTGCACAAACCTCAGTAAGAAGTGAGATAAACGCCAAATTAGAGGTAATGCATACTGATCTCACCTCATTGAGAGGTGAGATCAGTACTCTGAGAACCAACATTGAATCCATAAAGGGATCCATTTCCACCATGCAAACCACAATAGACGCCACGGTCAACAGAGTGAATGAAATGGAAGGTAGAGTGTCAGATACAGAAGACAGAATACACCAACTGGACCAAAAAGTGACAGATATGGAAAAATCACTCAAATTAAACCAAAGGGAAATTCAAGAGCAAGCAGATAATGCTAAAAAATTTAACCTTCGCATAATCGGAGTGGACGAAGGTGAGGAATTCCAGAGCAAGGGAATGCAACACCTATTTAACAAGATAGTCAATGAAAATTTTCCCCACCTCAAAAACGACCATCTTAACTACATCACAAAAGCTTATCGAACACCCAACAAGCAAGATCCCAGGAGAAACACTTCTAGGCACATTATAGTAAAAATGATGGATCTGAATAATAAGGAAACAATCCTGCATGCAGCAAAAATGAAGAAGGAGCTATACTACAACGGGAAAAAAATTAGAATCACTGCAGATCTCTCCACACAAACAATGAATGCAAGAAAAGCCTGGGAAAGCACCATACGAGCCCTGAGAGCCAATAACTGCCAACCCAGACTGATATACCCGGCAAAGCTAGCATTCACATTCGATGGAGAACTGAAAACTTTTAATAGCAAAGAAAAACTAAATGAATACATAAACATTAAGCCAGCATTACAAAGAATTCTAAGAGGGGGGACACAACCTGAAGAAAGCAACCAGGAACTGGGACCTGCCCCAAACAGGCATTACTCAAAGTCTAACTGAGCAAGCACAGGAGGAAAGGAAAGAAGAAAAACTTAGGAAAACGGAATGGCAGGGACAACAATGCATCTCTCTATACTTTCTCTTAATATAAATGGGCTGAATTCGCCAATTAAAAGAAAACGAACTGAGGACTGGATCAGAAAACAAGACCCATCCATCTGTTGCCTTCAGGAGACCCACCTCTCAGCCAAACATACAAACAAACTCAGAGTGAAGGGGTGGAAAAGGATCTACCAATCAAATTCCCCCAATAAGAAAGCAGGTGTAGCTATCCTGATATCTGACAAAATAAACTTTTCATTAAAATCAGTACAGAAAGACAAGGACGGACACTACATATTAATAAAGGGAACAATCCAAGAGGAGGATATAACCATCATCAACTTATATGCCCCAAATATCGGTGCACCCAGATATGTTAAACAAATGCTCTCAAACTTACAGAATAAAATAGATCCCAATACGATAATACTAGGAGACTTTAACACGCCACTCTCACCAAAGGACAGGTCTACCAACCAGAGGATTGGCAAAGAAGCTACCGAATTAAGTGAGGCCATACTTCAAGCGGAATTAACTGACATCTACCGAGTATTTCACCCTAAAACAACACAGTACACATTCTTCTCAGCAGCTCATGGAACTTTCTCCAAAATAGACCATATCATAGTTCATTCAAGGAACTTAAGCAAATACAAAGGGATCGACATAATCCCCTGTATCCTATCTGACCACAGTGGAATCAAGCTAGCTCTCAATAACAAAGCATACCGCAGAAATTTCTCTAATACATGGAAATTGAACAGCACACTCCTTAACAAGGCCTGGGTAACAGAAGAGATCAGAGAAGAAATAAAGCATTTCCTAGAACTCAATGAAAATGAAAACACCTCACAAAGAAACTTGTGGGACACAGCAAAAGCAGTCCTGAGGGGCAAATTTATTGCCCTCAGTGCCCACATCAAGAGAATGGAGACAGACCAAGTAAATAATCTCATGTTGCAACTAAAACAGCTAGAAAAACAAGAAAAAATGGGACCTAAAGCTACTAGACGAAGCCAGATAACCAAATTGAGAGCAGAGATTAACCAATTAGAAAATCAGAAAACCATAACCAAAATAAACCAAACAAAAAGCTGGTTCTTTGAAAAAATAAACAAAATTGATGGCCCGTTGGCAAGATTAATTAAAAAAAGAAGAGAGGAAACCCATATTAATAGGATTAGGGATGCCACGGGAAACATCACAACACGTACCCAAGATATCCAAACAATTCTAACAGACTACTTTCAAAAGCTATACTCTCTAAAGGAAGAAAATCTG